ATGCTTTTGGCTATTTTTTCCTTTCTTAGAAAAGCAAAGTCTATGCTTTAATAGTATGAGGCTTTTGATAAAGCCATCTTAAACAAATGTATCCATGCAAAGAAGGTATTTCCAAAGAAGTTTAGGAGGAGAGATGGTATCGGTATCGGCAGATACTCAAAGTTGAAGTATCGGTATCGGAAATCAAAAAGAGGTATCGGTCCATCCCTAGTAAAGATATCAGTTACCAAAATTCATGTTGTGATACATAAGAAAAAATTTCCTAGTGTTCAACTTGAAAGTGATGCAGTTACTGGAAAGTAATGAAATTTAGAATCACTTGTCATTTAATTGATATTGCACAGGGGTGTACTGACTTCTATTTTATACTGTTTAACAGACTTCAGACATCTTGATGCAGTAAAAATGACAGAAAATCACAAAAAAAAATAGCATTTCAAGTTTAATAAACGGCTGCCTTACAGGTACAGTGTAGGTCATTTACAGAATTCCAGTCATTACAGAAATCTGACAACCAGCATTACAGCTCCCAAATACGAAATTTTAAATGTTTGCATCATTCACATGTGCAGTGTGGTTCATCGTCCAGTGCAAACCCAACTGCAGTAACCCCTCTCTTCAAACAACAAAGCTCCTCCTTGCATGCCCAGCTCAGACGCCAACCCAAACCCTTTCAAGTATGTAGGACAGCTTAACAGCTGAGGTGGGGATCCATCTGGATGGTTTAAATTTTCCGTAAAGCTCCCAGAACACACAGGACCACCGCTGTGACCAGCAAGACTCCGCTGATGAGTCCAATCCGAATCCAAGGAAGATCTTCCAACTGGTGAGACTCAGATGGGATGTCTGGAAGGAGAAGAAAGAGAGGAACATCACATAGTTAGTTTATTGTCTTTCTCTGTCTCTGACTACTAGTTTGCGATTATTGTTTGCTGTTTTTTTTGTATTTTTTTTTTCCCTCTTGATTTTCTGCTGTGAAGTAGACCGCTGCTAACCTTTGTCTGGAAAGAATGTCACCTTCTCCTCAAAAGCTTCCATTAGCTGTGACTCTGTTGCTACTAGAAATAATAGCATAAAATAATGAGTCAAGTCACACGGAAGAGATTACATGCAAATACACAAAATTCAAGAGCAAACTGAGAAAAAGAAAAGTTACCAATCTGACACAAATTGCATAGAATTTTGGAAGCAAATGCAGAAAACCCAACTAAATGCTGAAATGCTTCAAGTCACACAGAAACAGTGCATAAAATTGGCCACAAAAAAGACGTTTCTAGTCGATTCTGTTCTTTGATTCTTTCAATGAACACTACATTGCTGATAGTGAATCTTTCCGCTGTACAAAGAAGTCTCTTTAAACCTGCTATTTTTTTATATTTTCCATTCTTACTGGGAAAGGTTCACCTGGCATTGGTTGTGTGGAATCTTCCAGGAGAACGGGTAAAAAATCGTGGTTGGACTCAGTGGTTTCAGTCACCTCCTCTGCCCAGGATGCTACAGGCCAGTGAGATGCAGTGACCCAGTCCTCTGCTGCTGTCGTTGCCTCATCAGGATCGAAATCTGCATTGAGAAGTGACGCGTTACTGTGATCGTACAACATCCTCTCATAGCTGACAGGTCTGCTGATTAAACTACATTGTGAGAATAGGAATGGCGATTACCAGTAAGGATTCGTTCCAGCACAGTCAACGTGATGCTCTCTGGTATCCCAAGCTTGGGATCGTCAGACTTCCTGAAAATAAAATTAAAAATGATTACTGGAAGTGGTAATTATAATACAACAATTTTATTGTTGTTATGTTATGTGCACAAATATAGCAATAAGAAAAAAGTGCATTCTGTCAAAGAACGGTTGGGAATATTTAAAGGCATTAATCAAACCCTTAGAAACAAAACAAAAACAAACAAAAAACAACTAGCAAAGGGCACCTTGTGGGCATATTTCTACTTTATTTTCTAAAGACAGACCTTTTGCCTGTTTCTTGGAATTTTACTGGAGCCTTTTTCTAAGCTTTGGGTGCACCTAAATAAAAAAGTTGACACCCCAGTGCGGCAGATTTGTTGGTCTGAGGAAGTGCCCACTCAAAAAACTGCAGCTAAAGCCCTTACCTGGTTCTATACCAACACTGGTACTCTCCACTGTCACTCATAGTTGGAGTCATATAAAGATGAAACTCCTCATCAGTGACACTCATGAGAACAGTATCGGAATCAGGCGACCCATAAGTAAAGAGTGAACCCTGTAAGTGAAAGGAGATGTTCAGATGTTCACTCAGTGTAGACCCACAACAGCTCAGTTAAGCATCAGATTATTCATAGCCGTGGATGTTAATGATTTTAGCAATTTCTAGGTGTGTAATCAGTGACAAAGCCTTTATTTTCCACCACATCATTCAAACAGTGCTTATAATTGTGAACAAGCTTTTAGGGCATCTCTACTGGGATTTTAGTGTTTTCTTCAGGTCTTTGAGGCTAGAAAGTTTCCTTGCCATCACTCTAGTTCCTCCACAGATTCTCGATGAGGATTCAAGTTTGGACTCTGCCTGGGTCGCTCAAAAATGTTCATATTGTTTTCTGTAACCATTTCTTGACCACTTCAGCTATATGTCTTAACCCTTTTAGCCCTGAGCTATTTTTCAGGCCTTTTCTCGAAAATTACATACCCATAATAAAAACAGTATATCTCTGCAACCACAAGGTCTATTTGAATAATTCTTGTGTCATAATAAAAGGAACACTTGTAAGATTTGTTCAGATGTGTAAATTTCAGTATATATGTTACTGGTTAAAAGTAACTGTCGATGGCACACACACAACTTTAAAAATTTCAGGTTCGCCTAAAAAAAAAAAAAGCAGTTTTAGGATAATTATCTCTTTGGAATGATCCAGCTGCAGCTCTAAACCTCTCCAAAATCATAGCACAATATGTGAACATTCTCCCTGCAAAGGTTGACTCTGAAAAAGTGAAGTAGAATAAAATTACTAAGTTTTTAATCCAGACAGTTCAGGCGAGGTGACATTTTTGGACACTTTGGCACATTTTGGCACACTGGTGACCATCTGAGTGTTCTTATGTACAAACTAGATATTTCACTTGTATTTCACTAATGGCGTTCAATACATTCAAATACCGCAGTGTTTTAGTTTTTTTTTAATCCTACCAGACCGCTGTCTGTGTTACGCGTCGTGTGCGTAATGGCGACTGGACTGGCTGTGAACCTCCTACGATGACGCGCGGCCCAATCTCCGTGATGGATGGGCCGATTTCGGTGATTGAACCCTCCTTCGAATCGTTAGAGCCAATAGAAGATAGCCATTGCCACCAAAACGAGATTGACAGCACTTTTAGCCAATCAGAATCAGTAGACCGCCATCTTGTATTCTCGCCGCTCGCTCCCTCGTTCACTTTGCCGAAGCGCCCTACGGTTCACACAGCCTCCCAGAGACGGGTGACGTGCTTTCCGTGTGGCACAGGAAGTATTACTAACTGATTCCGGTGTGGATTTACCGATAAAATAAACTTTTCACGGCAAAACAGCTGAGGTAAGAGACATTTTACAACTACAGTTTGACGAAGCGGTTTCGGTTTTTGCTGTTCTTTGGGTTGTTTCTCGCTGATGCTTTGGTTTTAGAGAGCTTTGATGGATATGTTTAGAATCTGGGGACTCTCTGCTTCATTTTGAGAGGTAGGTTGTGCGTCTTTCATAACGTACAGTAGCGACAGAGCCAGAAATGTGACGAGTGGGTTGACATGGTGGCGCTATATCGATTTGCATATTTGATAATTAATTTAGTTGGTGTTTGAGTTGTGTTTGAGGCATGTAGAAATGGCTGATATGTGCTTGTAGCCCAGGTTCTGCTGTTTAATTTGATGTATAACATCACTATATTCTTTCATGATGAGTGCTTTGTTTCACACTATTTCTTTCTGTAAAACGGGCTTAAGGGGTTAATCTTGTCTTGCTGAAAAGTCCAGTGCTGCCTAAGGACAAGTTTTTCTGCAGACTGTCTAATGTCTTCCTTCCGAGTCTTAATGCCTTTTCTCATGATGCCGTTGAAAAGGTTTTCTGGCCTGTTGGCTGAAAAACATCCTCAAAGCATCACATTCTCCCCATCATGCTTGATTGTGGGGATGGTGTTGTTAGGATTGAATGTTTCTTCTTTGACCAAAAGTTCTCCTCTATGTCCAGGTGGGCTTTTGTGTGCCTGTCTTGGAGAAAAGGTTGTGATCCTTGACTTCCTAATGACCTCTTACACTGTTGTTCTACCAGTGCTGGCATCACTTTGGGTTTCCTACCACACCTATGAGATTTTTCATAGTGTGGAACCCCTAGTGCTTGTTGGTTATGATTTGCACTTTTTCCCACTGGCCACAATTTAAGACCTGCAAAAGGTTTTGTCCTTGATAAGCATGTATTACCGATAAAATGGTTGACATTAAATGCAAAGTTTAAGGCTTACTGGACTACAGCTTGCGATGTTCTGTTTCTTCCTTACATCAAACAATAGACACCGTAACATTTATGAAAATAAATATGCATTCATGTTTGGCCATCTGCAGTATACCGTACATTTTTTATCGAAATAAGAGTGCTGCCGTTCCTGGTCCACCACACTTCCAGATATGAGGGAAGAGTTCTGGAGATCTGAATATAGCATGCTAGGTCAACCCCGGCACCGTCATGTACTGTTATGGAGCGCTCAACTTCAGGCTCTTGAGGGAGAAAGCCAAGAAAGTGGCAACATGTCAGCACATGTGAAGAAGAAGAAACAGATCAAGTCATTAAGATTCTTGGAAGTCTGTTGCTCGTTTAGTTTTGAGACGACTTATGTCACACTGAAAACAAATACGTTACACCAGACTCACAACCTTTTATATCCTGCATGTTGCGGAATGTAATTCGGAATAGTAGATGCATTGCATTTATCCTTTCAGTGTAGATGGAAGTGTAAAAAGGGTCTAAATCCAGTTTTACATTTCCCATTTTCTTGGACAGCTCTCATCAGGAGGTAACATGTCGCATGCATGTTGCCAAGAAAACTGCCAAAGTGATGCAAAGAAACACCATACAAGTCACCCACTGTGTATGATCAGTTTTCTTGCGACTGACACCTGAATAATTTGATTGTACTGACCAAAACGCAGGACGCAGTAGGAAGGAAATTGTCCAAGACAGAATTCAAGGTGCAACAAAAAAAGCCCCAAAAAACAAACAAGGCACAAACTGGGAATGCTGGAATGCATGGCAGGAAGAACAGAGGCAAAAGAACACTGACAACTAAAAGATGAAAATGCCAGACATCAATGACTGACTGACAGTAGAATACAGGCAAGAAGTCCGCTTAGTCTGTGAAAGTCCATTTATAGGCCTCTGAGAGCCTGAAGAACATTTTTTGTTGGCAAGAACTCAAGGCATTGTATCAGGCAGACACTACTCATCACCTCACTGTTACCGTTCCTATGGTGAAGCATGGTGGTGGCAGCATCATGGTATGGAGCAGTCACAGGAAGACTGAGCAGCTCCCTTGATTATACACCTGTTCTCTACTTCCACTCCTTGCCATATTGTTTTAGTAGCTAGCTCTCCAGTTGTATGTGTTCCCTGGTAACCCGCTGGTGACAGTTTTTGTCAACACCTTATCTCTGCTTTGCCACGTGGTTGCGTTCAACAATAAACCCAAATGGAACTGCTCTCATTCTGCACTTTGGTTCTCCTCTCTGCACAGTGCCCACTCTGTTTAGATGCTATCTGGTGAATGCTTATTTTCAAGCATACTGAGGTCTTTACACTTGCATTAATCACATCTTTGATTGTCATAATTGTTGGTGCACACATTTAGCCTTGTCACACATCCACAACATCAGGCCAATGAAATACTGGAAGCAAGCACACACTTTGCTGGAAAGGGGGGAAAATTAAGTTTAAGGGAGGATATCACTCTCAATACAACAAAAGTGTTTGATTTGAAGGAGGATGAAAATCAAAGGTAAACATTTTGGTTTCTTATATTAGACTTTCACACATTTGTTATATCAACCATACAGTGGGCAGTCGTATGGATTTGGGAAAGACATGCACAGCTGATAATGAGTTGATTTCATGAAGTGGTTTTAGTACCAGTCATCTAAATATGGCAAAACAAATACCTCAGACCAAACTGTTCAATTTCATCCTCCTACTCACCCCTGACTGTGAGCCAAACTGTTGATAAGGTTTTTCCTCCTTGCCAGATGCACTCATACATGTCTGTGTCGCTGAGCATTGTTTGGTTGAGGACTACCGACCAGTTTCCTTCCCTAATCTGCTCATCTGCTGGAAACTGGACCCGGCCCTGGAAGTTCATTAATAGACTCAGAAGTCCTCCACATATGATGGAGTAAAATTTTGAATTTTTCAGTTTAATTAATTAAAGCAATCTAGAGATTTTTTTATATATATAGTTCATTGGGACATCCCTAGTAGAATGATTTAAGCAAACATCATTCAACTACTGCAGATGCCAATAACAGAAAGGCGGCGCTAACCTCATAATGTTCCCCCACTGTTGACTCCCCTTCCCGCAATATCGCCACATCCTGCCCCACTGCTTCCCAGTGGACAGTTCCCTCCTCCTCGAGGAAGGCTGAGCCATTACAGTGCAAGGTGGCAGACTGTCCATAGTCCACCTGAAGGGTCAGCGTCTTCGCTATATGAAAGGCTTGACGGAAATAAAGTGAAAAGAAAAAAAATGAGGCAGAAACACAGATGTAAAATGGGGGTTAAATATTAAGGAGGAAGTATGAGGATAAGACTGACCCCTAATCATGGACAAAAGAAGATAAAAGAGAGAAGTAAGTAGGAAGGAAAAGCTAAACAGAAAGGGGAAGTGTATGACAAACACACATTACAATGAAATTCAGTGGCTCCTTGTGACTTTAGCAGTATTGACTTTTGCAGATCCAAAGAAAATTAGCACCAGCTGCCACTGATAAAAGACTATATTAAATTATCTTAAAGCAAAACTGGATTACTACAGAACCGAGGATTCAGTTTGTGGTAGCTGCATTGTTTTGACTGAATTCATAAACCCTTTACATTTGCAATGTCAACCACGGGACAGAACACATTCAAGTGTCTCCTGGGAGCGTTTTTAATGAAACAGATACTCACCACTGCAAAGCCCTCCACAATGAAGACACAACAACAGCAGCAAACCACACAAAGGCAGCATCTTGTCCCCGTCGTCCACCTACAGTTCTGACAGAGAAAGAGCCTCATTCAGAAGACCGTCCAGCTACTATGGAATGATTTAAGCTGAATGACAACAGAACATGAGAAGCCAGCATACTTGGGCGTACGTTACAAGGGGATGTAGGGCATATGCCCCCTTGATAATTACATATACTTGTTGGGAGTCTTTTTTCTTCTGAGCTGAGTCTTATATTGCTCTCAAAATATAAATATGTATTTGCATGCAGGCAGGTTGATCGCATGGAGGAGCAAAAAGAGGAGGAGGTTCGATATGAAGACATTTTTTCTTTAATAGAATTGCACGTCGATGTGTAGACATGTTCAGGTCGGGACTCTTGTCAAACATGTGAAGCTTGGGGCAGATTGGATAATGTATATTGAAGTTACCACAGTTACCACATCACATTCATTTTCATGGTAAAACATTGAATTTCACCAACAGGGCAACAGTCCGTTTGTTGTTGTATAAGGCTGCAAATTACAAAAAACTGCACCAAAATGGCTCCAAGAGGCATTTTTGTAAGTCTCATGTTCAAGGAAAATATTGTGTCACCATGGCAACAGTGTCAGAAGAAAACTGAGATTGAGTTCTCTATTTAGCATCATCTTACAACTCAGCTGACCACATTTTAGGTGTGTCTGGTTCATCTGCTAGGACTAGTGTGTCAAAGTATACTGACAGTAACTTCCTGTTACCAGTAGACGGCACTTTAGCTTTAAAAGTGAGCAGAACTCTTGTCAAACAAGAGAAATTTTGAAAAAGATCTGATGTTTTCTCTTTTTTTCATGTCAAAACCAGGGCTGCAAATGGCAAAAACTGCACCAAAGTGGATTAGTAAGTGAATTAATTCAAAACAGTCCGATGGTGCTTCAGGTATGGCTCCAGCAGGCATTGGACAAGACTTTGTAAATGTAGATAAAACCTAATGTGAAGGCCTAAGTTTTGTACGGGTGCGATTAAATCATTTTGCCACAATCATACCAAAAACTCTAAAAAAAAAAAAATGTAAAAATCCACTTTTAAGCACATCTGAGGCATGTGCAAAGCTTCATGAGCTTTTGAGCACCTTTACCCCGTCCAAAGTTTGATTAATTAGTAATAATAACAACGACCATCATCATCATAATCATCAGCATCATCATCAGCATCATCCCTACAGATACAGGAGGGCCTTTGCACCACTCGGTGTTACGAGATACAAAAAACGGATCTACAGGAAACTATATATTTGAAATCTATACATTTCAATACAGCTGTAAGCACATGTAATTTAACATTTAACTTTGTTTACGACTTTAGTTTTGCCTTTTTATTTTATTGTCATTGTAGCACATTTGGTTCCCTTTGACATGTTAGAAATAATAATGCCTGTTTGAGGATGTGTTTAAAAACCTTTAAAAATGTGACCATAGCTTTTAAAAGATGATTTATAATCATCTTAACTCTGGCTAAAAAAAAAAAATAAATCACCAAGCAACAAGTTTCTTCAAAAGCTTAGGAATTCTGTTTGCAAATAAGCATGAAGCAATTTTTATCGTATCTAAGCCAATTTAGCTGAAACTGACAGGGCCAACTGTAAACGGCTGCATTTTTGACATAGCTTTGGCATAGTTCTGCATCACAGACGGCAGAGCAACAAACAAAACAAACTGTTCTTACCGAGAAATGTTGAAGAGATTAAAGAATCCTCTGAGGCCATGAGGATGCCATGGCCCTGTGTGTGTTTTAAATAGCAGGTGCCTCCTCTCATTTTACAAGACTGACGGCACCAAATGCTGCCTTCAAGGGCTGTGGGAAATATCTATATTAAATGGCACATCAGTCAAAGTCAAGTTAAGAGCAAGAGAACTTGTCGCGGCCTCGTTTTCGCTCGCTGCCCCAAATTTGTGTCCTCCCTGTTATTTACACATTTTCCACACTGCAAGAATTTACCCAGGCTGGTTGAAGTGGTGGATGGCCTCATATCAATGAGTGTCCCTTTCCTGTTTGTTAATATTCTGCTAATATTCAAACAAAGCTTTCTTTTCCATTTTACATACAGCTGATTTTCCTGCACTGCCAAGCTCGGGGTATAAACAGGCCACACAAGACCGGTACATTGTGCTTAGCTGGCAGCCTGCACGCAGGAATCGGACACCAGGAGGCACGTGGCAGGATTCCTGCTCGTACATAATATTCAAAGTGCAAAGGAAGCCTGGGGAGGGTCCATTTGGAGAAATGAGGTTTACAGTGTGGTAACATGATCTCTGTTTAACACGGAACATACAAGATAAATATGCGATTGTTATTGAGTTGTGAATTTCGTAGGAGTGTATGAACAGTCCTAAAAACACAAAATGAAAGAATATAGATCAATAACCACACGCAGAAATTAAATTTAGACAAATGCGACAGGCACTTAAACATCTGTTTGAGGCACAGTGAGGTCCTAAAGGAGACATCACATATGCACAAGTCATAAACAACTCTCCTCATTGACAAGAACAATGAGACCTGTAACAGATGGCCTGACCCCACAGCCTCAACCTCAGACACTGACGGTCCACAGAAGAACTGTGGCAAGTTCGCTGAATAACCTACCTGACAACTACACCTCTAAAAACTGAGTGTACTGACGACAACTGGTGCTTTTAAAAAAGTTACAGAAATTTTTCCCCTTCATGTAAAGTTTATGCACGGACAGAAGCCATTTGCGGGACTATGTTTGAAAGCATCCTCCCGAGCGCCTGAAATCTCTGCACAGCAACATACATACAGTGCTGGAGGGAGAAATGTTATGTGTCATATGCGCATGGTTCATATCAGCTTTCTGAAATGTTAGATGGCACGAGTACAGTGCTGCCTGTGTGTGTTTCCACCATCACATGTGACCACCAGGACTCTCACTGATGATGCATTCAGCTTCCATGGGAAAAACTAACTATGCCAATTTACCCAAGAAGTGAGCTGTAATTGCCGTTGCTGTCTGCAGCCATGTCTGTTCTAATGTTGGCTAAATCAACTTCGCTGTGACCTAAAATTACCAACAAAAAGTGTTTTAAATGTCAGTGAGTTTACTATGAATGCCTCTCCAATTTGAGTTTGTGCGATTCATGAATCAGATTATTTACATTTGTGGAAAACATAAAGATCATATATATGTGCCTCGCAAAAAAAAAATATAGCTGACAGGTTTAGCATCAATGCATTCAATTACTGAATAAATAATATTAAGGATACTATGCCATGAGCTTTTCATCGACACTCTATCAGTAAGCATTTTCTTTATCTCAATTCTTCCTGCGTATTTGAAACATGTACAGATGTCACATTCACTGTTCTAGACAAGATATCAGACACAGGTAATGGGACAGTTGGGCATTAGTTCTCTCTCAGGAGTAATTTTCATTTCTTCTTTTCATGCTACAAAAGTATTGAAGAGAAAAGACATTCTGTAGCCAAACTGAATCCGAAAATGGCGACCTGCGTGATCATTGGCATGTTTTTGTCTGCAGTTCATATCCAGTGAGTCAAGACTACAGACATCCATACAGATGTGTGTCATTTTCCATTTATGTAATCTGTGTTTTGTCCTTATTTGTGTGATTTTCCCGCTGCAAGTGCGTGAACATTATCCAAGAAAGATAAATCTCTGCTAAGATAAAGTCCGTCATGTGCTGCCTGTAGTGTATGTTCTTGACTCTGTCAACATTTAATGTGTTTAAGAGTTTTTCGTGTTCTTGCAGTCATGCCATTTGTCCAGCAGAGGGAGTGTTGGTAGTGTAAATCAGCATCATATCTGATAAAACAGAGTGGAAATCAGTGCATGATACAATAATTAGAGAATATTGTTTTCTGTTGCATTCATATCATTTTGGCAGCTAGATCAGAGTAGCATTTATTATTATGATGATGATGATGATGATGATTATTATTATGATTATTATTATTATGGGTATTTCTTTGCTCCTGTCAGATTTTTGCTCACTGTGATCTTTTTTTTCCACTTAAATATAAAATACTCCACCTCTACACTGTAAAAAGTATATGTAGGCTGTAGTTGCAGTAAAATGCTGAAAAGTACTGTGGATTCTATCAACTTGAAATTATGCACTAAATCTCTGAGTTTATTCCAAACCTCCTCTCTCCATCATTCCTTATGGTTTATGAGTAGTTTTTCTTACGCTATACTTACTTAATAAGTAAGCGCTATTTTCTAACGCTATACTTACTTAATTACACTGTGAGACTCCAAAAGATGACACTTATGTTTGAAAATATTATAGTGACTTCTGTTTACTGACAGTAGTTGTGAGGTCTCTCCTAGTTAACCTCTAGTAACTGGATTAGGTAGATCCAAGTTTAGCTCTTTATATTAAGCTCCAGCATCATCAAATTCAGCAAACAATAAAGCAACATGTAAACTGACAAAAGGATTTCCAACGCTGTTGGGTCGAGTGACGCCGGAGCAGAAGTTTTCACACAGAAAAGCTACAATTTTTCTTTCCCCCCACTGCTCTCCCTATTTTCCCTCATATTCTTCCCTCCATCTCTCCTCCCATTTTCCTCCACTCCCTCCCCTCCACCTTCTCCTCCTCCTCCTCATCTACTTTTCTTCCCAAACGGTGGCTTCCTTCCACACTGAAGAATGGAGGAGAGCAGTGAGGAGTCACTGTCTTTCTCCGTCAGGGTCTTCACCCTGCAGGAGGAGGCGAGATCTGAGGAGGCCCACATGGAGACGCAGGAGGAGGTAAGGCTGGAGGAGGCAGAGGGCTCACTTTACTGTTCTGATGAATTGTGATTCAGTAAGATGCATTTCCACTAAGTTGGCTTAGTGTTACTCTCACTTATTATCAGAAAACACAAGATAACAGCATCATGCTGAGCCAAGGACCTCACAGAACATGAATGTGTCTAATTAGTCTGATTATTAATGTGTGAAAGGTCTCAAATTGTTAATATGTGACGGCATGATTTACAGCAACCTGACTGGATTTCTGCTGGAGACACTTAAATTGGTTCATAAATTATTCATAGACAATATGGAAGTTAAAGGAGAATTATGGTGAGCTGTACTGGCAAATTATATCTGATTAGCTACCTCACTAACTAAGCTAACAAATGAGGAAATAATTAATGAGATGAGGGTTATGTTAGAATTGTATTTGCACTGTATTTTACAAACTAGTTACCAATTTGCTGTAAAGACATCAGTTGACTCCACACCACCTTGTGCTCAGCTGTGATGCTACATGTGCTGCAGACAGTGTGTAATCAATGGAGATGAAACCATGGCATGAGGTGGACATTATCACATTAATTTCTATCTAGTCTCGTCAGCTGTAATCTGGTTTCAGATGAAACACTGTGTTCTGGTTGTGTTCTGAAGGAGGAGCCGCTTCAGGTGGAGGTGAGCACAGAGAAACACGTCAATGTGTGCAGACAGAAAGCCGAACAGGAACTCACTGTGCTCCTCACCAACGGACTGGAGGCTCAGCAGCTCACTGTGCAGGACGGTGAGTACTGGAGGACCACACAGACACAACATACATGCATAAATAGAGAATACCAGGGAATGTTGCTTTAGTAGTGGAAAAAAGAGTGAACTACAATGGAACAGTAAGTGCAGTACCAAATGAAAAACTTAAATCACATCAGTGTGTGCAGCCTTTGTCTTTTTCAAGGTGTCAGGAAATCAAAATACTACAAGCCATCTGTAACACAGATACTGTCTGTAAAGCAAAAATACACAGTTAAAGTTGAGATAGTTTCAAACTCCAAGTCTCATCTTCATGTGTTGAAAATCCTTTCAGCCAACAGAGCATCAGTTTTTCAGTTTACCGTTTGCGAGGAGATGGACTGCTGCCAGGTCGGAGGTCAGTCCTTCCTGGTCACCCTCGGCAAGCTGAGCCTTCTGCTGCAGTTCAAAACTGCAACTGGTTTGTACAGCGTATTCTTTAAATTAATCCTGCTTATCTTTGGAAGGTCAGACTTATGTACCTCTGAAAACACCTTGTGATCTTTGATTCTTCAGATATGAAGAACTTTCAGAGGGTATTGAAGCACGGGGATGGTGAAGACAGAAGAGTAGGATGCAGAGATGAGAGAGGGAACGAGGATGCAGAGGGAGGCCATGCAGCTTCGACGAGGCATCCCACAATGTTTGAAACAAGGACTGAAAATGCCCCTACACAGTGCTACCAGGTAGACACTCACGAAATTTGACATTAAAGTTTGAAACTTCTCTGCTGATATGTTGATTTCTTATCTTCAAAATGTAATCACCATTATATGTATCATGAGTATGATGTGTGCGTGGATGCTGTTGTGACCTTGTGAACTGTGCTGCTGCCTGTCTTTGCCAGGACACTCTTGAAAAAGAGACTTTTAATCTCAATGAGCCTTTTCCTAGTTGAATAAAGGGTAAATAAAACAAAATAAATATTTATTGTCTTGTGTGTGCCTGAGTATAGTTCCACAGCTGTCTGGGCCTGCATCAGAGTCTACTTCAGGACTACCTGAGGACCGCCACCTATCAGAGAGCCATTTTAGCCAACGATGCTGACTTCAGAGACAAGGTGGGCTCCTACATTTTTATACATTGCTTTATTAAGTGTACAAATTCTGTTTATCTTGTCAACAGCAGATGTGTCCTATGTGGTACTATGGTTTGTTCTGTACCTCCTGATTACTGTTGCTTCTACTTTAGTTGGTCACATTTCTTCTAATACTTGTAGAAAGTGCCTGTGTTTTCAATGTAGTCTTTCTTTTGATTGCCTAAAAGAGGAAATACTTGTCAATTTAGAATTAATGCAACTATTGAGAGGTGATATCATTTTGAATGAATTGACATTTAAGGGATTTTGCACAGGGGCTGTATTCACTTGTGTTGTTGGCTGTGGAGCAAACTCAAGTATTAGTCTTCTTATGTCTTTAAGTCAAAGCTTTGAGGTGTGTTTGTCCTCCTTATCCTGCTGCAGCATGAATCCTTCTCCCTAAAGACGCAAACCACAGACTGTAGTGCCATTTCTCCTTGATCAGTGTGGAGTCACATCAATGCAGGTGTCTAACTCCAGAGTAGCAACTCACAAACTTGGAATCATCAGTAAATAGGACTTTTTTCCAGTCATACACTGTGGAATGCTGGTATGCCTGAGCACATCCCAAGCACGTGATTTAGAAACTGCCTTCACTCTTGAAAGACCAGACAGCCTTTCTCTGACCATACACTGTATCTGTATCGATCTGTGAATAAAGCTATTTTAGTATTTTTAGAATGCTTCGTCCCTTATAAACCTTCAGGGGGTTTGACGCTGCCTCTATTTGTTTAAAATAGCAATTTTCCTTAGTTCTGATGTCATGTGTCCCACTGTTACAATACTACTTTGTGAGCAATGTTAAACCTGACACACGGTTGTATTTCTTATGAACAGCTACAAGTTGATTTAGTTGAACAAGGCTCTGATGAAACAATCAAATAAAGTGTCATCTGAATGCTGCTTCAGTGGAAGGTGACCTTTCAGATGGATCGTTTGAACACATATCTTTTGGAAAAAGGCTGCACATCATCTGGACTCATCTGGTCACATTACAACAAAAATCCCATTTCAAATCCATTCTGTCTTCTTGTCTCTGTAGGTGGTTCTGGATGTGTGCTGTGGTTCTGGTATTCTGTCTTTCTTCGCAGCCCAGGCAGGAGCTTCCAGAGTGTACGCTGTTGATTCCAGCCCAATGGCAAAATACACAAAGGTCAGCGCATTGTCCATCCGTCACTTTTCTCGTCATATTGTTGGCTTTGAAACAGCGAAAGTTCAACAGTGGATTTTAAAACTATTCTCCGCAATGAAACTATTGTTTCACAAACCTACTAGCAAGACTCGAATCTTCTGACTGTGAACTCACATGCAGAGTTTGGAGAATAATGTGATGTGTGCTTTGGCCGTGCTAAAGCCTTATGAGAAACCACAGCGTTGCACTAACAGCACACACACACACACACATGCATGCACACAGACTTTTAGTACATACATCACATGCAGAGCGTAGCATTCTGGGGAGTTAATGGGTTGCGGCAACATCTGGCCCAGAGTTCAGTAGGATAGGGGCTACAAGGAGATGCTTATGCACAGCACAGGGCTTAGACCCATGTCTGGGGATTGTATCAACTTTTTTATTAGTCACTGAAGCACACTTCCAATACAATGGAGATTTAATTAGTAAGCTAGAAGTCAGTTCTACTTAAAGACCAAAAGCCCCTTACACAATCCTGCTAGGGGTAAAATGTGTTATACATTTATCACAAACATCCATCTCGCCATCCATTTTCTTTTGCTAATCCGGGGTCAGATGACGGTGACAGCAAGCTACGGAAGGCGTTCCATATTTCCCTCACCTCAGAAACATTTTCTAGTTCCCCAAGACATTCCCAGGTAAGAGATCCTTCCAGCAAGTTCTTGGTCTAACTCGTGGTCTCCTCTGAGTTGAGTGTGCCCAGAAAATCTCCAAAGGAAGATGTTCAGGAGACTTCCTTGTCAGAAACCATTTCAGCGAGATCATTTCAATGAAAAAGAGCGGCGACCTTTGATGTCCAAACTCCATCTCTAAGGCCCAACTACCCACCAGAGGAAACTCCTTACGGCCATAATCTCATTCTTTTGGTCACAGCTCAAAACTTATGATCATAGACGAGAACTGGAACAGAAATCTACTGGTAAATCAAGAGCTTTGCCTCCAGCTCAGCTCCATCCTCGCCACAATGCTCCGGTACAATGCCGACATGATGCTGCCAAAGTAAATGTGTCCATCTAATGCTCCATTTGCCCATCACTCATGAACAAGATCCCCAGATGCTTAAATGGTTTTGCTTGGGACAGGAACTTATCCCCAACATAGAATAAGCAATCTGTCAGTTTCTGCATAGCACATTGTTGTACACATTCACTCAACTTTAATAATTATTGGCTGCAGTTATATGCTATTTTTATGCCCTTTGCACAGATAAAAACAAACAACAATATTTACATAACTGCTAAATGTAAAGGTTTGAGCAGGTGTCTGATGTATTCAGAAGGAAATCTTGTACATGTCTTTAAGCACTGAATTCTACAGCCTCCACAAAGTCCACTTTTATCCCAAACTACTGTTGGAGTTTGGATTTTATTTTTACAAGTTTGGAGATGGATCAGTCTCCGAATACTCTGACAGCCTATAAACACAGTGCACAGTGTCTCCTGCAGATGACCTACAACACAGCATTATTTCTGGAAGCACAAAACCACGAGAGGAAAATGAGGAAATGCATTTTTTGTTCAGGGTGATGAGACCTCATCTGAAACACTGAGACTTAATAAAGTAGCAGATTCCAGGATTGTTCAGGAGAGTCTCACATACAGAGTCCAGTGTGCTGTACTGTATCTATCATTGTCCTAGTTACGTGGCATTAATGCAGATGTTTTCTGTCTCCTGTCCAGATCCTGGTCCAGAGTAACCACCTCTCTGAGCGAATCAGAGTCCTGGAGGGGGAGGTGGAGCAGGTCGACTGCCCTGACATGGTGGACGTCATCATCTCTGAGCCGATGGGCTACATGCTGCTCAATGAGAAGCTCATGGGGAACTTCTTGTATGCCAAGAAGTGGCTCAAACCCAATGGTGAGAGCAGACAAAGCAAGGGGAAATGATCCTTGTGATTTGCGTCATTTTTGCAGTTTTGATTTCTGTCTGAGGCAACAGTTCTCTGCCAGAAACAGGTGAAGATTGCTCCCTTTGGATTTGGGGTGAGTTGTTGAGACCTTGGAATCTTGTTCATGAATGACTCAAAAAGAGGATGGACAAATGAATAGGTGCAATGTCAGCAGTCCCCTGGCTGTTTTATGGGACTGTTGTAGTGAAGATGGTGCTGAACTTGAAGGCGAGGCTCTCGATTTATGTTCCAACACTCAGCTATAGTCATAAGTTGTAGGTAGTGACCAAAAAATATATTGCAGGTAGAAGCGGCTGAAATGGGTTTCCTCTGCAGGATGGAGTTTTAGAGATATGGTGAGAAGCTGGAATATCTGGAAGAAGCTCAGAATAGGAGCCAGCGGAGGTGGTTCAGACATGTGATTAGGATGCTTTCTAAGCGCTTTCCGTTGGAGGTTTCTGGCTCCATCCAACCAGGTGGACACTCTGTGGTCGACCCAGAACACATTGGATATGTTACATATCCGATCTGGCCTGGAAACACCTTGGGATTTTCCAGGAGAGTCTTGAAAACATTGCAGTGGGAAGGAATATCTGGTATAATCTGATTAACCTGCCACCTAAACCCAACCCCTGATGAATGGTAGACAACAGACCGCCAGATGGATGAATGGATTTCTATCATTAAAACACTTGTTTCGGACCATTTTATTGGTATACTTGTGACCGTCTGTAATGTTTAATATCTTATTGTCTCTGTCATTGTTTCACTGCATATCCAGGTCTGATGTTTCCCTCCTATGGCGACATTCACTTGGCTCCCTTCACTGACGAGCAGTTCTACTTTGAACACTACGCACAAGCCAGTTTCTGGTCTCACACACACACAAGCATGCTCAGACATAAATCCATGCATGAGGACACAAACACACTGGCTCCCTTTCTTTCTTTCTTTCTGTCTCGCACACACATGCATATTCTCAGTGTTTGACCTCAGTCAGGCATGTTTCCTGTTGGGTGTAAAATGCTTGGCTTCAGTCCTGACTCACACAGAGGGAAAAGGGTTTGACTTACATGCACTACTGTGGGCTGATCTTTTTGTTAAATGTGTCAGTATATAGTATCATTTCAAATGGCTGAAGAATTATCGTTTCAATTTATTAACTATTAAATAACCAAGGTTTGAACAACCAATAGTTAGATTGAGCAGAGTTGTGTCCAATTACTGTATATTATACTCACTTACTTTGACATGATCTAAAAGCTGCAGTAACCAGACATCTATCCATCCATCCATTATCTATACACCGCTTAATCCTCACCAGACATCTAGAAAAGGCAAAAACAAACACAAACAAAACAAAGCAAAAATGCCAGAATTTGAAAATACAGCCCTACCCCTGCAGCTTTCCTCTGTATGTCTTAAGCCAATGCCACCTAATGAGTGTAAGCATAGGACATGCGCTTTAAACAGGCAAAAACAGCCACGATAAAAGTCAAATTAACATTATGATTTTGGGTAGTTTCCTCTCAGACCATGTAGATTACAATACATTGAGAGGAATTTTTGCCTAGTGATTCCAAACAATATAGCCTACCCCAGTTTTTGGCGAACATTTTGTAGCTAATTATTGAATTCAGTTTAACTTTAGTTCATTTCAAAGTGCTTTCCATTGTAAGGTTCCATTTTTACCATATTATAGTATGAAGAGACGCCCAACAAATCCAAAGATTGTCTGGCTCAACCAGTTTGTGTGATGGTAATTATGCAGATTTCCATTCTGTGTTATTACAGTTAAGCATATAACAGCGGTTATATGTTTAACTGCTGTTATATGGGGAGGCACCTTTCACCTTCCTGTTGAGACATCAAGCTTTCCACTGCCTGCATATACCAGCATGCATTACACACGAGTGTTCAAAAACGATCCAGTTCGATTCCAAATGTTATTTAAGAGGGAAACCTGGTGCCCACAGCAGGAAGTATAGATCAGTACAATGCTTTCCCCTTCACTCTAATGTAAAAACGAAAAAGGAATTGTGTTAATTTGCAGCATTTTACAGCCTACACCTATTTGTTATACTTTTTTTTTTTGTATACAGATTAGATGCATTCTGCTGTATTGCTGTACTTCTGCGAAATCCCTGCAAACAATGTGACCTCTGTTTTGCAGTTTGCTTGTGCATGCAAGTGTCCCAGTGTGTGTGTGAGTGTCGCTATGCTCTGTGCCCTTCACTGCTCCACCAGTATGTGCAGGTCAGGCTTAGTCAGCCTTGAGGAATGAAGGTAAACTATAAACTGATGTGTTTGACCAAAGCAGAGTGGGGGAAACATATTCATTTATACTAATTAATGCAGCATCACTGAAGGTTTGAAACTTTTTCCAACATGTCACAGTTACGCCAAATGCATTTGAAACAATAATAAAATAATCAAAATAGCAAGACAAGCAGTGTTTAATTCAGTAATTTGGATAATTCAGTTTCATTTCAACTTGATTTTATTTATATCAAATTATAACATAATCTACATATTAAGATCAAGACCTTACAATATAACAGAGAACCTTTGTGAACAAACCTGGTTAAGTGGGAAACTACCATTAAATGTCTGCATGCTTTTGAGACATAGCAACACAACAGTCTTCTGTTACATTCATCGTGGTCTCGAATACATAGATTTGGAAATCACTTGCTATCTGGCCACATGAGAGGAAAAACCTCTGTATGCACAATTTTAACCACTGAACCACTGACTGTTTGCCACTTGTTAATGCTACTACTAGTGTTCACTGTGCTCTAACATTATTGTTACTAAATAGTGCAGTGTTATGCTTTAAAAGCTTTGCATGAACGCCATGTTAGGTAGACTGTTGAGTGAGCTAGCACTACAGACTCCAGTACTCACACATTAACTACTAAACGTGTCAATCAGCTGACTGTACCGGTGATTTCATATCCATTTTTCCCTGCTTTCTCTTCAGGCAGCAGAAGAGCTTCTACGGTGTGAACCTCAGTGCTCTCCACAACGCTGCAGTGGATGAGTTTTTCAGGCAGCCTATAGTGGTAAGTTGCAGCAAAAACTCAGTGACAAAACAGCAACCGTGCTGAGAGATTACTGTGTTGTCACTATTGTATGTTACACAGCGCAGTAGTAGTGGAGATTTCGAAAATTGTACATACAAAATATATCAACAAAGATCCTTCTGTTATTTTCTTTTAGCAGAAAACTTGATCCCAGTGACTCAATCATTTTAAATGGATTTATTTAAGCAGTCTGCAGGTGATGAAGGGGCAGAGACATTAAAGAGGACTGAACAGGGAGCAGCTGCTTTGTTGTTTATTCAAGTTATTTATTGTTGCATTACATCAAATGGAATGAACAGCAAGTATATTGTATTGTTTTCAATAATTCTCATAATAAAAGTAGAATTCAGTGTCAGGTTTTCCTTCACTTTTGCCCTCTGTGGCAGGAAAAGTTTGGAACTTTAGTTTCATTGTGTTACAGTTTAGCCTAAAAACTGTGTTCTTAGGTTAAAATGTAACACAATGAAATGTTTTTTTATTTTATTGTAGGCAAGGAATTGTATTAAATTTGGTGCATTTTCCAGGACACCTTTGAAGTGCACATCCTGATGGCCAGGTCTGTGAAGCACTGCATCAACTTCATGGAGGCTAAAGAAGAGGATTTGCACAGGTACAGAATTGTGTTTACTAAAGCCTGATCAGCAAACACCCTATTTAGCTTATTTAAAACTTTAATAAACGGTTTATAATGCAGTCTAAAGCATATATGAGGTTGATAATACACCTGATACATACATTATGCATACACGTTACAGTATAAATGCAGAGATGAAACCTGTACTTCCAGAATGGAGATTCCCTTCGTGTTTACTCTGCTCCAGTCTGGTCTGGTCCATGGATTCGCCTTCTGGTTTGATGTGGCCTATCGCGGATCCCAGTAAGTAAAACTCTATCTTCCTTCCAGTTTGACTGATTGATAGTTTGAATGATTTTCAGTGTGGACAGACGGGATGGATAGAACATTCTTTAGAAAGGTTTGCATCCGAGCAGCTGAAAATCCTATTAACTCATGTGTCCCTCATCAGAGGTCTGTGTGCAAGGATGTGATCTCTTAGGCTCTTTGTGTGTTTGTAGGTCCACGGTGTGGCTCTCCACAGCTCCCACTGAACCTCTGACCCGCTGGGCTCAGATCAGGTGTTTGCTTCAGACGCCACTCTTCGCTAAGATGGGACAAACTCTGTCTGGGACGGTGCTGCTGGCTGCGAACAGCAGGTACATGTTGTTAAGGATGCATTACCAACAGAAGACTCCTGTGTGTCCGCTTCCACTGATTTATCCTCTTCTCAAATTAAAACCAAATTTTCCAATTATTTGACTCAATTCATCAACCAAACTGAATTAGTTTCTGATCTTATGTCACCATGGTACATGCAATATGCTCATGTCTGTCCATCCAACCACCATAACAGAAGCTATTCAACAAAAACATTGTCATTTAATCAAGCTGACTCCTGGAGGTTTGTTTTCATCCCGTCTCCTGTAAATGTACCGACCTTTACCTTTTCTCACACCAGACAGAGCTACGACATCCACATCACGGCCACAGTTGACCAATCAGGCTTCAGATCTGAAAACATCCTGGACCTCAAGAACCCTTTCTTCAGGTCACTTCTGTCTCATCTCTGATACATTAATTAGAATTGATTCATTTAAACACAGTGTGACAAACTGTAATATATTAATGAAAGTTCTACTTTGTGTTGCTGTCTTGCCCAAGTTAAAAAAAATAAATATTGGTGTAACAAAAATGTACATTTTTGAAAAGTAATCAAAGCAACATTTTACTGCAGTCGTTTGTATGTTTATATATCTTATGTCAGACTGCAGTTAATTTGTAAGTTATTCAGAACTGAAATTGACTTTTTAAAAGGACTTATTTTGTCCAGCCGATAATCAAAACCTCTAAATGACTTGAAATAATTTACATTCATGAAAATATTTGAAAGGAAACGCAGCAAATCCTTAAATTTAAGAAGTTAAAACCACATATAAAATTACTTTTGACTTGTTTTTGTAAATAATTGTTGGAAATTCTATCTAGCATAAACATTCATATTTTCTAAAGTCTTCATACATTTTGAATACAGAAATCAGATATATGTAGTGCTGGAGAAAATATTGAGATCTCTTCACAGACAGTTTAACAGGCATGTAGGCATTGGATTTGGAGGTGACAACGTGTATCTGTTACTCACCACCAGTCTGCTGCCGTCTACTGAAGAATTTTGACCAGAACCTCAAATTTGCACTTAATTAAATTGTGATTCTGTGCAGGATTCCGTCCTGGTTCCAAAACTAGAGCGCTGAGAGCCGGAGGTCCAGAACAGGAGGCCTTTCACCTCCAGGATGCAGAGTGAGTAGAACAGAAGGTACCACAGGATCAGAGCATGCACAGGTTCCACACTACAGTTGTAGTGCCTTTAATTATAAAAATAATTAAAGCTGCAAGCAGCGTTGGTCGGGTCCTCGGTCTGCGTTGGACCCTCATGCCCGTCTGACCGTTCTTCAAGTTAAACCTGCTTTAAGTTGAAGGAGCCATTTTTCTGTCTTTGCTCAGCCTCAGACTGTCAGTGAGTCACATGACCTGCTGCACTAAGCTGTGATGATGTCATCGTTCAGCATGTCCCTTGGTGAGAGAGCTGAGAGTTTTACTCGCTTTCTCTCACTTTAACTCTCCCATACAGCCACAATTTTCATCAAATGTGTGTAAAAACAGCATAGTTTTGTAGGAAATCTTGTTGGGAAGCCCTCAGTGTCATTTTTAAAGCTGTAGGACCTTTAGTTTATTCTGTAGATGACCAACTGACACAGCATGTCTGGACATGCCCCCATTGACACCCATACAAACTATGAGCCGAGGCTGAGGCAGCTCATCAATTTTAACGGCTCGCCATTCGAAAACCGGTTGAGAAACGCCAAATCCCTTCAGAACTTTTGTACATCAAGGCCTTCTCTGTCTCCTCTGCGATTTTCAAGTTGGTACGATTTACGCTGTCAGACAAGATAATTTTTTCCCAAAAGAAGTTTTCACGGATTTTCTTACTTTGAAAGGCAAATTGTGGACTTCCTGTTTGAGATAGGTCAGGGGTGTCAGCGCGGGATTTGTGGGTCTCATTGAGACGAACGTTTTGATGTTGGTTTGATCTCTGTGCGACATTCCTACTGGGCGCTAGGGCCATTTTAGTGTGTTTTTCTGTAACTAGGTGGCGCTAGAGAGCATTTTCTTGTTTTTTTTTTCATTTTATCAAATTTTTCGCCGATTCGGACATGTATGCCAATTTTGGTGAGTTTTTGAGCGTGTTTAGGGGGTCAAATTAAGGGTAACGCGTGCGTCAGGAAAATAATAATAATCGGAAGAAGAAAGAAACGAAGCGGGAACAATAGGGTCCTTGCCCGCAGGGCAAGGACCCCTGCTTGCTGCAGCAAGTAGGGGTCCTCGGACCCTAAAAATTAAAAAAAGGAAAAGAGAAAATCTTATTTCTTAGACTTTTTGCTTTACAAAGAGAATTGGCTCTTGTTTCAACACTCTCCACCACAGCCATGATGTAGCTTTTATCCAGGGCCTAGAAGTCATCATGTGGATGTGCATGTTTTTTTTTTCTTTTTAATTGTTAGTAACACTCTGTCTCTTTCATCTCCAAAGGAACCTCATAAGGAATCACCAGCCGTCCCACCTCCACACACCTGAACTCAGTAATTGTTCTTATAAACATTTTGCCAGTAAACTTCAATGCTGAGAGTAAAGTTAAAAAAAAAAAATTGTCGTCATTTTTAAAGGTGACATCTGTGTAATATGAAGTTCGCACAGATATTACATCTGTGAAACTGTATGTCACATGTTCTGTGATTTAAAAAAAAGTATTTTACCTTCAAGCACCAGCAGTTTTGTCTGCATGTGTTTAATGTACTGTAATAAAATGTCCATTCACAAACTGTGACAATGACATTTATTTACTGTTGCATGCAGATGTGCTGCACCACTTAACACATTTACAATCCTGACTTTTAAAATTGTCACTGTGACTGAGTTTGCAGGCTACTACTGATGCAGCCTTGCCGTCCTCTGCTGGACCTTCAGCGCTGTTACAACCACTCACATGCATACTGCTAATAAAACTTTGAATATAAACACAGGCAATGTAAATAGATCGTTCAAATATTGTGTGGAGACAGCAGGTGACCCATGTACAGGGCTGCAGTCCCTGATGCAGAGGTCATGGGTTCGAGTCCGGCTCGTGGCTCTTTGCTGCAGGTCCTTCCCTCATTCTGACCTGTCCAGGGTGTCCCCTGCCTTCACCCTAAGTCGGCTGGGATAGACTCCAGCCCCCCCGCGACCCTAGTGAGGATTAAGCGGTGTATAGATAATAGATGGATGGATGTGTGGAGACAGCTTCCCAACAAACCTGTAGAGTGAAACGCAAAGTACGTCACAGACAAACTTAAAAACTCAAAAAGCTTATTTTAGTCAGAACCATCAATGTGCACATTTCTGGAGCAGAAAATCAAGACAATCTTTTTGCATTTGAAGTGTTTATAGGAAATGAACTAAAACGAAGTGTAAGCAAAGTCCTTTGAATAATTTTGCATTTATTATACTGCTAATTAGAGCAGAGTGAATTTAGTTAATTGAAAAAAAATCTGCAATTTTGAATGAATTTTTCTTTATTATTTTACACATTTTTTCAATATTTTTGAAATACATGATATCAATAAAATTGTGAACTAAAATAAGAATAAAAACCTGTTACTGTGAATAACCACAACATTTCTGTTTAGATGTATTTGCAAATGTATTGTAATTTCACAAATATTTCCTTTTTTGAAATAGATAAAATGCTTAAATTCAAGTTTGATATCATAAATGTATTTCTAAAAATAAATAGAATTAGTGACAATTAAATAAATAAAGACTTGTTTTGGAATGTTACATAGATGTGTTTGTTAAATTGTAGACATTTTGTGTAGATACAAAGGTTTTGGGGATTTTTTTAACAACAAAGATGTGAAGGTCATTTAATTGTTTTCTTGCTTTTACACATGAAATATATTTCATTGAACATTAAAAAACAAAAACACAATCTCATGTAAAATTAAGGCCAGAGAATGTATTTTAGTTATAGAAAATTGCTCTATTTTTATGAGGTTGTTATTTTCCACAATTTTAGACTGTATCACCATTTTGAACTTCTTTTCTTTTCTTTATTTTTTATGTTTTATTGTGGTTACACAGAAACAGCAGAGAATATGATGCTACACTGGTAGAAAAATAAAATAACAACTTCATGTATTATTACATAATTCACATTGAGTGTTATAGAATCAATTTTCTGTATGTAAGACTGACTTTTTTTTTTTTTTTTTTAATCAAAAAGTTTTTTTGTTTTTTTTTAAACTAATATTTTCCGTTCCGTCTCCACACCAGCAGGTGGCGGTAACGAACCGACTCGTAGAAGAAGAAGAGCCGCCGGTTGACACAACACTGATGCTAATGTAGCCTCATATTAGCGGTGTTTTAACAGAATAATTCTGTTTCAGCTCTTTAAAGTATTTTAGAAATTGTAGCGTAGGCTTTTGAAAGGCCTTACTGGATCAAATCCACCGGCTGCACAGAATGTTGGCTGCAGGAGCAGTAAGTAAACACGACTGCTAACTTTCAAATGAGCTAGTTCGCCGGAGCTAACCTGCAGAGCAGCCTGTTCATGTCACAATTAGAGTCATATGATGAGCGGTGCTACATGATGCTAAGCTAGAATGCATTCTCCTGCCACTAGAGTGGAGGTAGCTTTCTATGCCACTCTTCATTTGGAGTCCAGTACAATTCGCATTACATATTCATTTACAGTGAACACTTGCTAACCCACTCTCCTCCCCCTTGATGTAATTTCACAGATTACACAAGAAAACAAGCAAACTGATGTTCACTGTGATGTCACATGTTCAAAGTTTTCTAAAGAGCTGCATTTTCAATTTGCAACAGAACTGGCAGAGCTGCTGCTACATTATCTGTGTTATTTCCAGGCTGTGACCACAGCACTGGCACAAGTGGACAGAGAGAAGATCTACCAGTGGATCAATGAGCTGTCCAGTCCAGAGACCAGGGAGAACGCGCTCCTGGAGCTCAGCAAGAAGAGGGAGTCCGTACCAGACCTGGCTCCCATGTTGTGGCACTCCTGTGGAACCATAGCAGCCCTGCTGCAGGTGAGGAGGGGAAGGTTTTCCACAAGTTTGTAGGTAACAGGGTGGACAAAGGATGCACTAAAAGACTACGGTTGAAGCACCTCAGATTATTTTGCACTTGAAGAATTCATCTCCTTTCAGACATGCACTATGTTCAATTAATCTGATGGCATCCGAACATGCCAGCTACATGTCTGAATAAGTATCACTTTATCGTAAAGCTCGTGGTCGCAGTCAGTACATTGAAACATTTCTACATTGCTTTCAAAACAGCACAAATCTAAACTGCACCCAGCAACATTAACAGACAGATACGGCCGAGCAACAAACTTCTCACAGAGAGCACACAAAAAAATTGCAGTTTGTTGCCAGAATCCCTCATTCACTTTGCTCTACAATTGCACATTAATTACACACTGAAATGTCTGTAGAAGTAAAGTTTTACTGCAGTGAAGGCAGAGTCAGGTTAGATTAATGAGAGATACCAGTCATGGATCTAATCTGGGTTTTGACGAAACGTTAACCCAAGCTAAAGATTATTTTTTTCTCTACGTTTATTAAATAATTTATTAGAAAAGTGCAGATTTACACACTTAAAACAACAGCAATAAATCAATTACTTACGTCTAATGATAAATTATAATGAATTAGTCCTTAGTTTCATTATTTTGTGTTACATATAACTTGATGTTCTGTCCAATCTTGCATGTCTGACAAAGATTATATGCATGTTGTGGCTCACTCTATCACTCCATCTGATGAAGCCATGAGGAACATTAATATTACAGTGGTCTATCTATAAAACACAGGATATCATTCCTTCAACTGATTAATGAAGCAGCAATGTTACACATCCCATGTGTGAAAACGACTTTATTCTCCAATGTATCCAAAAAAAACAACAAAAAAAACGAACCTGTATTTGCAACCCTGTTATTCCAGGAAATCGTTAACATCTACCCATCAATCAACCCCCCCACCCTGACAGCACACCAGTCCAACAGAGTCTGTAATGCTCTCGCTCTCCTCCAGTGTGTAGCCTCCCATCCAGAAACAAGGTAACTGAATTCTTTACTCATGAGCGATTTATGGTACTTAGTCATTTTTTGTACTTATCACAACACCTGAAGAGAAACACATGCTATTCAACACTGTTTTATCATGTTGGAGATTCCAGATTATCTCTACAGTTTTGCAAATTCATGCATAAACACTTGTTTACACATTATACTGTGCTGCATTACATAGTGACATAGTTTCCCATAAATGCAATTAAGTGGTTACTTTGCGCTGCAAGGTGGATCGGTGGTTAGCACTGTTGCCTCGCAGCAAGAAGGTCGCTGGTTCACGTCCCGGTGAGGACACCCCAGATCTTTCAGCGTGGAGTTTGCATGTTCTCCCCGTGCAGCGTGGGTTCTCCGGCTTCCTCCCATAGTCCAAAAACATGTTGAGGTTATTTTGGTGATTCTAAATTGTCCGTAGGTGTGAATGTGAGTGTGCTTGGTTGTCTGTCTCTAAGTGTAGCCCTGTGATAGACTGGTGACCTGTCCAGGGTGTCCCCAGCCTTCGCCCTGAGTCAGCTGGGATAGACTCCAGCCCCCCGTGACCCTAGTGACGATTAAGCGGTGTATAGATAATGGCTTGATGGATGGATGGATGGTTTTTTTTAAGGAACGTTAATGATTTACATCAATTCATTCATCAGTAAAATAGTAGATGAATTAGTTGATAGATAAAGTTTGTTGTATTGTTGAAATTGCAATGTCTAAACTTGCAAAAAGTTTCGTTTCTCTCTACCCTCTACATCCTGTTGAAGAAAAGTATCAGGCTGGACATGTTGTGACTGACGCAGATCTCCATCGTTGAGGGATCAGTTGGATCGGGCCCACAAAAACCTGATCGGAACATCCCCATGAAATAGTGATGGAGCTTTAGCAGCAGGGGATTGTTGACTTTTGTTGCTCACGGTGAAGTTTTGTCCTTTGCAGGTCAGCTTTCCTGGCTGCACACATCCCACTGTTCCTCTACCCGTTCTTACACACAGTCAGCAAAACACGGCCGTTCGAGTACCTCCGCCTCACCAGCTTAGGAGTCATAGGTAAAAAAAATAAAGATTTGTAATTACAATGTGTAGGATCTGTTACGGTGAAAATCATTATTGAAACATGTATGTCTTAAAAACTTAGAATTGTCTGTTAAACACTTGATGTTTTCTACTGCCATTCCTCTAGCGCTACCCAACTAGATGGGTTCCCACTCTTTGAATTTTAGTCCATTTTAAAGTGAAAACTGAGGAAAGAAATTGTTGTTGAGTTGAGCATTTTCACAATCCTGTCCATTACATCTGTTGCTTCTCTCCTGCTCTGTGCTCATTTATTCTACAATTTAATACAACAGAATTTTCAATGAAACTGTTCTCATTTATATGTTTTTCTTTTTCTGTTGTCAGACAACGGAACAAATATGAAACAACAACTCAAACACAGCACATTCAGACTGCATATTAACTTGCGGCCATTATTTCCATGTTTCATTCTTGTCCAGGTGCTTTGGTGAAAACAGATGAGCAGGAGGTGATCAACTTTCTGTTGACAACAGAGATAATTCCTTTGTGCCTTCGCATCATGGAGTCTGGAAGTGAACTCTCCAAAACGGTACTTTGTCCCGACGGTACCGTTGAATTCAAGGCTGATCAAGTGGTTTGAAATACATGCTAGTTTTCCAGTGAATCCACAAAGACAGAGAGGAAAGAAGTTTAATCTGTGTTACTTCATAAATCACAGGTTGTACTGTAACATTTTCTGTTCTGAGATAAACAGAGAAAAGCTATTTGTAGCTCAGGAGAAAAGAGAAAGTAATTGAAAGGATCTGAAATAATTGTTTTCTAGGTTGCTACCTTCATCCTACAGAAGATTCTCCTTGATGACACGGGGCTGGCATACATCTGCCAAACATATGAGCGCTTCTCCCACGTTGCCATGATTCTAGTGAGTTCTTCATATCCTTTAATATTGTCAATGTTAGATACACTAGATCAGGGGTGTCAATCTCAAAAACACAGTGGGCCAATATTTAAAACCTGAACAAAGTCGCGGGCCAACATTGAACAAATGAACTTTTAATATGGACCGAAACAAATTTTGCTTTAACATTGAATATGGAACAAGCAACGCTTATATATAACTTAATAGTGGAGACATGCAAAATCAAATTATAAATAAAAAAAAACACATCAGTGGCACAGTTGTAGTGTGAAGTCGCTATGCCTACTGTCACAGAGGAGAGGGAGTTTCTGGGTCTTGTCCTGATTGACGTGCCAAAACAACAACAGGGCATTATGGGATTTGTAGTATTAGCGGTGAATGCGCTGTACAGTATAATACCGGGGGCAGCTCTAGTAGTCATTTGGTATTGTCTCGCGGGCCAAGTATAATTTCAAAGAGGGCCAAATTTGGCCGGCGGGCCAGAGTTTGACACCCCTGCACTAGATGCTTGTTCTTCATCTCACGGTCTGTTCTTGTGTTTCAGGGTAAAATGGTCCTCCAGCTCTCCAAAGAGCCATCAGCTCGCCTCCTCAAGCATGTAGTGCGATGTTACTTAAGGCTCTCTGACAACTCCAGGTATTTAGATTGTTAAAAACACTCATCCGTTTAGATCGGAAACAACACCCAGCATGTTGTCTGACAGACGGGAGCTGATCTGGTTTGTCACTAACACCAAACTGAAAAAAAACTTGTATGGACAAAAGTGTAGTTTGTTTTACACAGTAACAATGGCATAAATCAAAAATCTGATTATTTATTTTGCAAAAAGCTGACAAAACCTGAACACAGCCTGCAGTTCAGCTGAGAAGTTCCTAACTTTTTGTGACGTGACTAGAATATGTAATGTGTAGAATAAAGTGATTTTGCTGAAATATCACAATTTTAAGCTTAGCTTTGGTCAAGTTTCTCAACAGATGAGTAGTTCAACGACTGTTAAGTTAAAAAGCTGATAATTCTTTCTGTTGTTACAGTTTTCGGGCTCTGAGAAATGGATTTTTAAAGATGGCATGTCACTTTTAAACCCTCCTGCAGGTTTTCAGATTCAGAAACATACAGTCCAATGCTGCCATGAAGAAGTCATTGTCCAAATGATGCAAACATGATTAATGGTCTGCACTTAGATATATATACTTTGAAAAACTTTCCAATGGCAGCAGAGTTTTCATGCATCATGTTTTGCATCTTGTGGTTTAGTTTCTTACCTAAGCATTCTTTGGCAGAGGCCGAGATACTTTCCAAAGTTAGAATCATATTCAGCTGTCCAGACTAGTAACAGTGATAGGAAGTATATATTTGTGTATACATGTGTGTAAAACTGATTCAGTCAGTGTGTCTATACGTAACCTGTGTGTTTAATGTTGAGCAGAGCCAGAGAAGCTCTGCGACAGTGCCTCCCCGACCAGCTCAAAGACACCACCTTCGCTCAGGTCCTGAAGGATGACACCACCACCAAACGCTGGCTGGCCCAGCTGGTGAAGAACCTGCAGGAGGGTCAGGTCACCGACCCCCGGGGGATACCTCTCCCTCCACAGTGACCGCCTCACCCCCATTCCTCCCTGCTCCTCACCCACCCCAAGGAACACCAGCAAGGAACTGCCAAACAAATGACAAGCCTTCAGTCATGGACAGCACAGTTTTTATGAGAGACTTGAAAAAGAAAAGCCTGCTGCCTCCTTATGTTTCTGTTCAGATGTGCAAGCAAGAGGCTTGAGCTTCTGCAATTCTGTTCTCATGGAACCTCATTTTTAAAGACATTCACATGTGTTGCCTCACCATGTGGTCTGCAACTGACTTGAATAAATGGTTGCAAAGCATAAAACAGGATCAGCTCATTCATTCTGTGTATGTAAAACTTACCAGACACCAGATCTTAAAGCACCCTAGTAACACTCAGACTCATGATCAACAGTTTAAATGAAAGGATCAAAATCGATATGAGATATTTTTTATCTCACACATTCTTCAACTGGGCTGCATGATGTATCATTTCAGCATCAACAAATTAGTGTGGGGCGCTGCTATAGCTCACCTGGTTGAGCTGGCAACCCATGTACAGGGGCTGTAGTCCCCATGAGTTCGAATCCTGCTTATGGCCCTTTTCTGCAGGTCCTTCCCCCGTTGTTCTCCCCCACTTTCCTGTCTCTCTCGAACTGCACTTTCAAATAAAGGCAAAAATGCCAAAAAAATAAATAAAAAAAGTCAGTGTGGCACTTGTCAAATTGCCAAAAGTGCAGTGTGCACTCAAACACATCAGGCTAGAACTTTTTTGTCACTTAACACAAAAAGAAAACTCACATGGTTCTCGTTTTCCAAGAGAAATCTGTCTAATAGAGCATCGTTTACTCTGATTTCAGGGTGCTTGGATACACTGAGTTTTTGTTTTTTTTTCTTCTTCTTTTTTGATTAACATGCTGGCTTCTGGGCTGCAGGGTGGCGCAGTTGGTAGCACTGTTGCCTCGCAGCAAGAAGGTTGCCGGTTTGCATCCCGGTGGGGGCACCGGGATCTTTCTGCGTGGAGTTTGCATGTTCTCCCCGTGCAGCGTGGGTTCTCTCCGGGTTCTCCGGCTTCCTCCCACAGTCCAAAAACATGTTGAGGTTAATTGGTGATTCTAAATTGTCCGTAGGTGTGAATGTGAGTGTGCTTGGTTGTCTGTCTCTAAGTGTAGCCCTGTGATAGACTGGCGACCTGTCCAGGGTGTCCCCTGCCTTCACCCTAAGTTGACTGGGATAGGCTCCAGCCCCCCCGCGAACCTAGTGACGATTAAGCGATGTATAGATAATGGATGGATGGATGGATGGATGCTGGCTTTTCATGCAAAAGAAGTAGAGACACTGAAGAAAGAAAGATTTGGTTGCAAAAATGAAATGCACTGTCAGTTGCAGGGCTGCACAGTTACTGGATTATCAATGACGATAATGATTTTACCTTCAGAAAAGTAGATGAAGGGCTGCTGCTTTAGCTCACCTGGTTGAACTGGTTGACCCGTGGGCGTGGGTTTAAATCCTGCGCATGGCCCTTTGCTGCAATCTCCTCCATTTTCCTGTCTCTCTTTTGACTGTCCTATCTAACAAAGGCAAAAAGCCCAAAAAAATAACTTAAAAAAAAAACCCGTAGATGAACACGGTTGACAAGATGTTCTACTCGTGTAGATTAAATTACATAGTTTTAGCTGGATTAAATCTGACATGAACTAGGTGGAGACTAGAGGCTTCTCTGAGCACAGCCATGCAGCTAGCGTCTATCCTAACCAACAGTTGTTCAGCTAATGAGGCGTTTTGATTCATTCTTATTTATGTTGTCTCTCGGAGAGGCACTGAAATTAGCTGAAAATAATTCTTATTTTGATGCAGAGTTGTACATTCGTAGGAATGTAGCACAGTAAGAGTTGTAAAAGTAATAGCAGTGCTTTTATAAGTGTAAGTGCAATTAAAACATTTTGTCTGTAAAGTCACTGAATAAATGTAATAAACAGGCTGATCATGATCTCAATATTAATGAAATAAATTGTGATTGCCGTTTTGCCAATAATCACCATTGTTAGTTTTGTGGAAATATTACAGCTACAGAAAGAAAAATATTGTAGTGTCAGTTTTATTCCAATACCCTGCAGCCATCCTGCCAACACAAGATTCAGGTAAAGTACACAACTTGTAACTGATGTATTCTGCTATTCTAATAATATATATTTGTGTATATATATATATATATATTAACTTTTTAGGTTGTAGTCTTCTCAGTGAACCTGTCATTGATACCAGCGTTCAGACCTCAGCTTACGTGTTAAAGTCTGTCTGCCTGGGCGCCGCAATAGCTCACCTGGTTGAGCTGGCGTCTCATGTACAGGGCTGCAGTCCCAATGTGGAGGTCATGACTTCGAATCCCGCTCATGGCCCTTTCCCACACGTCCTTATCCCCTACTTTCCTGTCTCTCTCTCACTGCACTATCAATAAAGGCAAAAAAAATAATAATAATCTGTCCACCTGCTTGCTCCTGTACAGACCTGTCTGACTGACACCAGATGGAGGCACCAGAATCCTGCCAGCTGCTCTTAAACACAGCATTTTTTGTCTGCAGGAAGGATTTCCACAACTCGGGTATGACGCACAAGAATGCTAAATTAAGTCATTCAATTACATTCATTAAATACAACAAAGAAGCTTTCTGATCGTAAACTGTTCTGATGCCATAAAACATCACAGGTGGTTTAAGGGTTCAAAGGAGAGTTTCACTTTGGAAAGTTGAACTGAAGTTAATATTAGGCTTTGGATAGGGAGTTTTGTTGGAGTTTTAAAAGCTGGTAAATTTTAAAGATGGACCCTAAAATCTAAAGATCTGTGATGCTTCTACTCCTGTTAATTCAGGTTTTTGCTGTGGATATTAACTGGTGCCACTGGATCGTCTGGTATAAATGCTGTCAGGTCACCTATTGTAGAGGTTGCTGCTGGGTACTGTAGTTTTTGGGCTCGAGGTCATTGTGAGGGAACCCCTCCATTTTAGTCTTGGCTTGGTCTGTGTAATATGAGGCAGCAAGCTGAGCTGAAGCTGTGAATTATTCATGCCTCTGAACCTGAGCAGGGAGCACAGGTGAAGACCACAGAGAGAATATTCATATTCTAAACTTACCAGCTTCGGTGTGTGAGTTCTCAGGTGCGTAAGTGATGGCAGTAATGACTCCAAAGGTAAACTGGGAGCAGTTTGTTAATTTGAGGATGATCCTGCTGCTAAACTGACCCGATCTGAGTTTGATTTGTAGGTCTTGGTAACACGAGACGGATAGAAAACGTGACTGGCTCTTTGTGGTGCAGCTCTGCTGGTTCTCCACCTGGCATGAAGGGACAGAGGTGGTCTTTGGCCAAGCGTGGAGGAACCCTGCCAAGTATTATCCTCTGCCAGTGGAATGGCTGCCAGACTAATGTGGAAAACACTAATTCAATGTTGCCGACATTGAAGGCCACGATGGGTCTTAGGATTCAGTGCTACAAAGTCAGTCACCCTGTAGATCCACTGAAAAGGTTAATTAATTAATAAATATGTAATAATTGAGTTTTAGGCAGTTGGACAAACTTGAATGCTTGCAATAGACTTTTTCATCTTTTTTGATTTTAATGTACAGAAAAAGTTTTTAAAAAATTGTGCAGGTATAACTCCATTATTGTGAAAGCTCCTAATGCTCCTATTACTGCTGGAATCACTGTGGACTTCAATTTCCGCATCAGTTTTTCCTTTCGCCCTAATTTGTAGGTAAATAGCATGTAAGCTAAGGCAGTCTCTACTTTTGTGTCATTGTGGTTTAAAGTCAAATTCAAATGCACCAAGTTATATAAATGTTAATTTTACTGCACTGTTAACAGACTTTTGGAGGGCAATGTTTATATACACACACATTAGTATTCATACATATACTGTACATACAAAAGCATGTAATTCATACCATAACAGCTATTTGTATATATTAGATTGTATATAGATTTGAAGATTTAGGCACTTAAAATAAAGTGAGCATGCAGTGAACAGCTCTACAAAGAGACAACGACAAAGACAAGACAGCAAACAACTACAGAAAGATCTAACAGTTGCTTGGAGAAGAAAATACGCACGTAACAACTGCAAAGATAGCCAAAAATAAGAAAAGAAAATGACCACCAATGGATGATAACGACCCCAAGCTATGATGCAATGAATATCTTCTGTCACTGAACTTTACTTTATACAAAGTGCCAAAATGGAAAAAACCTTCTGTCAAATCAATATTTATATGCTTGCACCCTTTTTTTTAAAAAAAATCTCTTGAACAAGGTGTGAAGCTCTAACATACTTCCTATGAGTCAGTATGAATCCACAACTTAAATCAAACTGATCTAGTGCAGACTTTTTTTTTCTTTTTTTTTTTAACTAAAGCATGCACTGATGGAATCCCTCAATCTAACAAACAGCTCAGGGTGCACGTAGCTGTTTCTCTAAGCAAAGATTTCAAACACTTCTCTGCACTCTCCTGATCCGAGGACTCTAACGAAGACAGCCCTCAGAACAGTTTAAGAAATGCTAAATAGGGCCAAACAGGTGAGCATGCAACAGGTTAGAGAGGATCCATAGAGAGAGGGAGGGGGTGAGGAGGAGTGTCACAGTGAGTTGACTCGGTTGTTGCTGGCTTTGATCAGTGCAGCGTGGCATGCAGAGGAGCAGCAGCAGCAGCAGTAACCTGGCCGGGCCATATGATCTGTTCCAGCTCTACAGCAGCGACCGGGACTCAGAGATGATCCTGCTACAGGTCAGATGCACCTTATGGATCTTTTTTCCTCCTTTTGCTACCTTGTATAGTCTTTATACACTGTCTATAGATTGCAAAAACACAATTTGACACTTTCAGGCTGCTTATGATTGAGCTGTTGAGTTGATATAACCTGCAAGAAAGTAACACATTTTTGCTTTGAATGTAAAATGCTGCTTATTATCATTTTGGCAGATTTATTTTTGTTTTTCTAAAAGCACACAGACACACTGAACATTTCCTGTGAACTGTCAGTTCTGTTGTATGATTGCAAGGTGCATATATTATGTCAATGCACCAGATGTGACTTTTTGATTCATTTTTATGTTGCAAGTTTGTGTGCATTATCTGCCTTTTAATCAGTTTAAAACTGCCTATTTTGTCTCTTTTGACGCTTAACTGAGCATAACTGCTTGATCGAACAAGGTGGTTTTGTTCAGTTATTGTTTGTAGCGCAAAAGAATGGACTTTGTTAATGAAATAAATGACTGGTGTTTGTCATTTTGGATCAGCGTGGAGTTAATTCAGGTCGTGAGCGAAAGGTGGCAGGGATTTTGGAAGATTAGTTGGCTTAGCGAGCTCGACACAGACCCGGAACAAAAAGTGCAGGACAGGACAGAATGCGAGTGAAAACATAACAGAGGCACCCACATCAGCTTAACAAGTCTCCTGATGTCATTGTAACGAGCAGGAGGGTTGAATAATGAGGCTGCTATTGGCGTCTAATGCACCCAGCGAGTGTTTTGTTTGGCTAGAGGGCATAAGGTCTCAGAGCAGCTTTTTATTTGAGTGCCACTTTTTAGTTGAAGAGGTAAATCAAGCAAAATTCATAGAGGTCAGATACACAAGGATGCAAAACAGATACAAGGAGACAGAAAAAGATGCAAAACAGCGACCAAGAGAAGAAAACATCTGTAAACCAACAACAGAGACAAAATGACTGCATGGAAAAGAAAATAGCCATGAAAATAATCTGATGAAGACACACAAAACTGCCTAAAAGAACAACAAAACAAATACAAGTGGAAAACGAGCCACAGACAAACAAAATTGCCACAAAAATGCAAAACAACGACATGCAGAAAGACAACAGAATTAAAGCACCAGTTCGGCTGCATCAACCAAAGACACAAAGAATTCATCTCTCACTCTGCATGTATAACCTCAGAACAACAAAGCTTAAAAAATGTGAAACATAGCAATTTTGTACTGACTGGCTAGAAGCAAAATGCTGATTTTCAGTTCTTCTGATGTGTTGCGATCTTTAGATGGCAGCGTGAGACGACAACGAATGGCTTCCACAGGTAGTGGCCTCCGTAAGTCAAGTGGAATTTTCTTTCTTCTGCATTAGAGTTGACTGTGTTCAAATGTTAAACAGGGGATAATATGTATAAATTATTGACTTTCTCATTGAATTAATACAGCATAGCTTATTGGAATGAGCCTCTCTCTGTGTAGATGTACACTGCAGTTGATGTCAGAAGATCAGAACAATATCTGACTGATTCTGGCCAGATTGGTAAAACATGTCACTTACTCAAGCCTGCTTAGCCTATTGAACAAAAATGATAATGATAATATAATATGTATGAAATCTTACTTTTATATTATAAGTAAAAACTTTTGTATGTAAGTTTGAGGCTACAACAGTACAGTATATTAATTTAATCAGATTTTATTAATTAATTAATTTATTGATTGATTGATTCAATTTACATTTATTGGAGAAATGCAGTTTTTGTGTTTGAATTTCATATTCACTACCTATGGAAAACTGCAAGTAAAACATCTCTGACCCACTGTCGTAACACTGCCAGAATCACACAGAATTTTAATGCCAAATGGACTTCAACCCTAATCCATTTTCGAATCAGTCGACAAACTGCAGCCTAAACTTTCTTGCAGGTATTCAGGGGGATGACAACCTCCAGTCCATGCTGGTGGGGACAGTAATGAGGAAAATCAAGTCTCGTACCTGGAAGAAGCAGCGGTATTTCAAGTTGCAGGAAGACTGCATGACCATCTGGTACAAGTCCAAGAAGGCCGGCAACACCCACTCCACATGTAAGAACACAGCTGAACAGAGTTAGTTTGACTTGTCATAGCCTGAAAAACAACGAGAATGAGCAATTCCTGGAGAAATTGCAGTGTGATTGATGAAAGCTATTGCAGCTGCTGCATCAGTTTTCTTACTTACTTTGGCACATGGATGAGAAAAACCAAGTATAGTACCGCCAACACTGCCATAAGTAAACAACCCAACCTTCTACCTGAGCCACAGCCGCCACAAGATAGTCATCTTCCCACATCGGGTTTGATCATGTTTTGCATTCCCCCAAACTCTGAGACAAAGAAGACAAATGACTGCCACAACACATACTTTTTTTACCTCTACTTATGGGCAGCTGTGGCTTAGCTGGTAGTGTGCACTAATTGCAAGGTTTGTGGTTCAATCACGGCCCCTCAATGCGTCAAAGTGTAGAAAGACATCAAAGCCCAAATTGCTTCTGAGGGTCAGGCGAGCATCTTGCATGGCAGCTCCACCAACGCTGATTGTGAGTATGTGAATGAGAAACATATTTTAAAGGACTTTATAGAACCTAGCTAGAGCTAAAAGGTGCCGTGATGTTTTTATTACAGCAATACAGGGCGCTCAGTGATCAGAAATCTGACACACAGCACAGAATCATTAAAAACAATAAAGGCAACAATTCCAGATATCAGCACCAAATGTCATACATCACACATTTTCTGAATATGCTTAACATTTTACCTTTAGAACCTTGTACTTTGGAAAATGTAATAACAAGAAAGCTTCAGCAACCAGAGCAACTAGAAGGACACTCAGAGAGGAAAGATCTCCACCAAGACCAAAGTATTTTGGATCCATACCAAAATGCAATGGGTTAAACTTGTGCCCACATTTAACTACTCTACCAAGTTTCATGGATACTGGCCCTACAGTTTTTGCACAGTTTTGCTAACAAATACACCAAAAAACAAACCTCCTTGGATTCTGCCTGTTATAAATCTCTATATTATGAAATTCACCATGGTTTAATAGCAAATCAATTTTCTTTTATTTAAGCATTGGACCTTTTGAGAGACAAAACAAGGCCATGAATAGTGTTCCAACTATGTACTGTGTTAGTTTTTCTTTTTACAGAAGCTGCCTAGGTATTACCCGATGTTACACAATACATGATTCTGTATTATGCTCTGTTGTCATGTCTTCTACTCTCCTATTTCTCTGTCCCCAGTTTCTGTGAGCGATGTGGAGGCCATACGAGAAGGCCACCAGAGCGAGGTGCTCCTCAGCATCGCAGATGAGTTCCCAGCTGACCGATGCTTCACGCTGGTCTTCCGAGGTCGCAGGGGCAACCTGGACCTGGTGGCTGAGTCCACCGAGGAGGCACAGTCCTGGATCAAGGGCATGAAGAAGCTGATTGAGAACCTGGAGAACATGGGGGAGAGTGAGAAACGTGACCAGTATCCTTCACTAATAGTCAAAATAGTCAAAGAGCGTGCAGTTTTGCAGTCCAATCTGATGCAACGCAAGGCAACTTTCCTATGTTAAGTACCTTTACTTAGATTTAGCCAAGTATGTCTTTTCAAGCTGCTATAACTTTCCTTATGAATTGTACCCAGATGGATTGGTGACTGGTTCAAGAAGGCCGACAAGAACAACGATGGCAGGATGAACTTCAAGGAAGTGCGAGATCTGCTGAAGATGATGAATGTGGACATGAATGAACACCACGCTCATCGTCTTTTCACCGTAAGACCCGTTGATTCAAACACACAACTAAAGCCGTTCCTGTGATTTAAGATATTGAGAATGCTTCCTTTCTCTTTTCTCAGATGGCTGACAAGTCCCAGTCGGGTACCCTGGAGGACGATGAGTTTGTGCTGTTCTACAAAATGTTGACCCAGCGCGAGGATGTGCTGAGGGTTTTCCAGGCGTACTCATCTGATGGTCAGAAGCTATCGCAGAGCAACTTGGAGGACTTTCTGAGAGAGGAGCAGCTGGAAGGGGATGATACCCAACAGCATGCCAAGCAGCTCATTGAGTGCTACGAGCCCTCAGACACAGGTATACAGGCAGTCAAAAAGGCACTTTATCTTGTCATTTTTCTGATATTGATTACCATTAAAGGTTGAATTCTAGCACTGTGTGAGAAGGGTCTGACACCACCCTGCTATATTTCCAGCCAAGCTGCTAAACGCCATGACATTTGATGGCTTCTTGATGTACCTGGGCTCAGCTGAAGGCTCCATCTTCAACCCACAGCGGAGGGGCGTCTTCCAGGACATGAGCCAGCCGCTGTGCCACTACTTCATCTCCTCGTCCCACAATACCTACCTGATGGAGGACCAGCTCCGGGGACAGAGCAGCGTGGAGGGATACATCAGGTAACGCTGCAGGATTAAACTTTACAAGCTTTGACAAAATACAGTCAGACATCCTTGTGAAATAAGTGGTGCTAGAAGACTACTCGTGGGGTAAAGTTACTGGGATTCCAGAGCCCCTTTTAGGGAGCAATTTATACGCTGGAGGACTATTTTTATGTATAATTAATTGGTAAGACACGGCTTATTTGTGTCTTCTCTGTCTGGTGTTCTGTTGTTTTAATGGTTAGCACTGTCAGAATGGTTTTGGACTGATCAATGATTTAAATTAATGTGTCAAATTTCTCCAAACTCTTCGCAAAACCACTTGATTATTGACTAGGGTGCCAGTGATTGGGGTCAAACCAAGAGAAAAAAGTTCAGAGCTTCCCTCACAACTCTTTATCTCAGAGTGATACGTCAGTTACATCTCAATATATTGACATTCATGCATAAATCTGCACGGAAATGGGACATTTTTTGTTTTATAGCTTGCCTAAATGTTTATTATGGTTCTAATTTATAAGATGATTTGATCTAAATCCATTTTTGAGCCCACATTTCATAGATTCCAGTGCTGACTCTGCTCCACTGAGCCTGTCAGGGGTAATGAGATGTACTGTGATGTTGCCCAATCTTCCTCTTTCACTGATTTTGCAACGCTCATTAATAAAATAAAGAGGGAGCACTGACGTCACCTTGATTAATTCTGTTTCATCAAATTTATTAATGCAAACATCAGTCCAATAATAGCATCAGTGAAAGAGATTAACTCAGCCAGTGTATGTTCTACCCCGCCTTTGACCCTGAATTAAAAAAAAAAAACAACTAATATATGAAAGATTTAATTTGTCCTCGCTGCTCAGGGCTCTGAATCGCGGCTGCCGATGCGTGGAGGTAGACTGCTGGGATGGTGCCAGTGGAGAGCCCATCGTCTATCATGGACACACTTTAACCTCCAAGATACTCTTCAAAGATGTGGTCAATGCCGTGGGCAACTACGCCTTCAAGGTAGCATCATCTGTGCTGGTTATTTCACCATGTTTGTAGAAATCCAGAAATGAATGCAGAGATTTTGGTTGACATTGTCCAGAGCTTGTGACAAAAGCAAGAATGTTGCTCAAGGCTTTTAATTTCTTTTGTATTTATTGTTTGCTAATAACTTCTGCTTGAAGGTAATTGTAGTTCTTTTCAGTTCGATCCAGCTCAATTCAGTTTTATTTATAGAGCGCAAATTCGCAACACGCCATCTCACAGAGACAGACCGTGTTTCAATCCAACAACGGGTCCTTTCTAGTCCTTCCTATGGCAAAACTTCTTCTGACAAAATTTGAGGAATGCGTAGATGACTAGGAATTTTAAACAAATGCTAGCTATGACTCCAGATTTTACTCATTGTTAACCTTACCAAATTTTAAAAAAAAATCTGTCCAGTTGAAGATGGTCAGCTTTGGGGCATTCAGTGAATTGAGGCGGAATTGTCCATATTTAAAGAAGGGGGGTCATGTTGATTTTTGTTTTCTTCATAACAATCTGTGGAGCAGTGTTTAAAGTGCCATAACTTAAGAACTAATGTAGCTAGAGTCCTAAAAATGTTTTTTGGCTCTTTAATTTGTACATATAGATTTCAATGGTGCAAACATTTTTTGATAGAATAATACAAACCAGTTATGTGTTGGTGTAAACTGGTCAAAAAAGTCAATGTTTCTGTCTATTCACCAAGTACAAAACCTTTATTTTTCACACATCTTTCTATGATTGGCACTCATAATGCTTTAAATAATTTCATAACTGGCAGTTACAATACCTGTAACAAAACTTTTAAATGTTTAGATTACTAACGGAAGTATGCACAGAAGAAAAAATCAGACAAATATGGGATGGTCAGGTGTGAACTTTTTAAAATTTGATGAGTTGAGGTGAAATGGCCTATATGTCATCAGAACTGCACAACATTTTTTTTCTTTTTTTTGGTGCGACACTCTTGATTTTGTGGGGTTGCACTCATCCCACACTCACAACTGGTTGGTTTAAGATCACAGAGGTCCAGACAGGGCTTTTCAAAAGGACCAAGCATGTTTTGTAATCCTCTCATGCTGACAGTGCAATTGTTTTTGCTTTCATTGTTCTGCATAACAAATCACTCAGCATCTTATTTTATGTTTGAAAGAGGGACTACAATTGTGCAATGACATCCAAGACATAATCTGAAAAGGCCCGTCGAGCCTGCCAGGGATCTGCCACAGAATGCCAAACTGAACAGCACCAGGTTCACATGCATGTCAGCTGTGTATGAGTGTCTGTCCACGATCGAACGTTGTGGCCTCGTGACCCCTTGTCCATCTGTCTGCTGGTCTTTCAGCCAACCAGGCACAACCCCGCGGGTGTATGGCAGCGGGTGTATCAGTTTTCTGCTCGATAATGCTCTCCAGTGTTAAATTACAATCTCACTCGCTCCCTCCCTTCCTTCCATCCTCCTCCATCCAGGTATCGGAATATCCAGTCATCCTGTCCATCGAGAACCACTGCAATGTTGAGCAACAGAGAGTCATGGCCCAACACCTCAGCAACATCCTCGGTGACAAGCTGCTGAAAAGCACGTTGGATGGCAAGGCCCCCATCGGGCTGCCATCTCCTGAGGTGAGCAGTTGTACCACTCCTACCTTACCCTGTGTGGTACGAGGGAAAAAAGTGAAAAGGTTTAGTCAGGCTCTGTAGGTCAGTTCATTTATGTCGAAATGATATTCTCATGTAATTGTGTGTTGCATTCTGAACTTGTGTGTGTGCAGGTTTCTGGATTGTTATAATGTGTAACAATCATTCCCATCTTTCCAGTATAAATTTGTTTAACTATCACTAGGTTGTGTTAGTGATGTCAGAGAGTGGATATGATTGGGATGCCACCACTACTTGTCTTATTGCCAAAACTTCCAGGAAGGACGGCCCGGTAGCGTCCTTGTACAACCTTTGTTTTGAAACTGTTTTTGAAAGATAATTGGACATCTTGGTTGGATGTTCAAACAACAGTTCACTAATGGTTCAATAAGAGCCTAAATATGAAAGCTACATTGAGAAAATTGCCTTGTATTTCATCATACACGTGAGTTTTAAATCTGGTGTCTGCGATGACATTCCCATTCCCAGAGACAGGACACACTGCAGCAACAAAGAGAACGGTGAAACCAAAGATGGATTACAGTCTAAAAGAGAAAGTGATCGATAGCGAGGCACATGTCATAACCACTCTGACAGTGTTTGTAAAAATTAACCTCAGTGGCAGTAAGGGGAGATGGAAGTTCCTTATGACAAGTTTAAATTTTAGCATCTTAAAAGCACCACTTATGGAGCTAACCTTGACCATCCTGAAGTCAGCACATACATGTACTAGTGACTAGTAGTTAAATGTAACACTCCTCATTTTAAACATAATTTATTGGGCGATCAGTGAGCTAAGAAAGAAAAAATATGCTCTCCTAAGCTTACTCATCTCAACCCTACAATTCAGAGTTTGGCTGCAAAGACAACAGTTTGCCATACCTTACTTTTGTATCATCTAGCAACACCCAAGACTTCAGGCGTTATCATTTCAGACTGTCTGGGCATTATAAACGGGATATTTTTTCAATGCCTGAAGGGGATTTCTTCAAATTTAGCATAAATGTTTCCTTGGATTCAAAGATGAATGGATTAGATTTTGGTGGTCAAAGGTCAAAGCCATCTTCGTCATTCCATTCTTGTGAACTTGAGATATCAGCAACTTCTAAAGGGAATCTTTTCAAACTTGACACAAACATTCACTTGGACTCAAAGATGATTAGAAATGGATTGGTCAAGGTCCGTGTGACCACGTGTCTGTCCCGTTCTTGTGCACAAGATAAACCAGGAACCAGGAGTTTGGTGAAAGAAGGTCACGTTCATATGACCTCACAAAACACACTTCTGGCCATAAATCAAAAATGTAGACGTTAACTATAGCAGAATTTCACACGTCTAACAGAACAAAATGATGAAATTATAGCATTTTATATTAAAAAAGATCAATTGTGGAGAGACATCAAGTAAAGTGTGACTTGGCTATTGACAAATGATACAACTGTGAAGCAGTAATTCAAGCTAAATATAAAAAGACCAGAACAACAATGTTCCAGATGTGTGACACAACAACAACTTGCTTTCTAGTTTTGAGACTCAGAAGCATAGCAAGTGAGAAATATCATTGCCATGTTCATTTTACTTGATCATTGGTACCACATCCTTGTCAAAGTCAAAAGTCAAATGAGTTTTAAGTTATCCGATGTCTATGCAAAGTACTTCATGGGTATTATGGTGCTGAGCTGTGTCCATTGATTCTAAACTTTATCCACATGACGCTCAAAGCTGTCACCAAGTTGTGTATGAAGTATGTGTGATGTGACCTCTTTAAACCTGTCAGAACTAGGAGTCACCCAGAGGGCACCTTCACCTTCACCCCAAAGCCTGTCAGAGCCTCCTGGACCATATGATCCATGTCTACATGGAACACTGGCACCCTGAATTATTCAATGTCACGATATTTTCACCTCTTGAAATGTTGGAGTTTATATGGGAAGCTTTTCCCTCAAGAAATATTCCACTTGCCATTTTGAACAACCGTTTTGTTTGATTGTTATTTTACAGGAATTCTTTGACAGTGAGTTTTCATTTCACCTCTGTGTTAGGATCTAAAGGGGAAGATTCTTGTGAAGGCAAAGAAAATTGGCGGTCTCGAGGATGCTTTCAATGGGATGGTGGAAGACTCTCTGACCGGGGAGGTCAGCGATGAAGACGAGGCAGCTGAAATGGATGAAGATAACCTGCACCGAGAGAGTGTCCGTCGTAGGGTTAAGGTGGGTCTGGTTTTTGAACGCTGGCATCAGATCCAGACAGATTATTAAACACAGTCTGATGATCCAGACTGGTATAGATGCAGGATCCTCTATTTCAGTCGTTTTTAAGCTGATGATACAACACTGAGGTAAATCAGGCAGAGGATGTTGGGATGAACTCAGTAGATTAAGGTCCCCCAAAATACATTACGTGCAACATGATTAGGCAAATTGTACTCTTCAGGATTAATTTTGTTGTTGAGCAATGCTGTCAGTCAAATTTAAGTTGCTACTAAACCTCAAACCTGACTGTTTAACAAAGGAAAAGTGAGTTCTGTCTTTCTCAGGAGAACATAGAAGTGTGCACCATTATTATGCAACTAAAATATAAAATGAATTTTCCCCACCTACTTGTTTATACTCATTTTTTAGAGTAATTTTAGCGAATATCTAACACAAAATGATAATTAAATAACATTTTTGCCTTTTCAGAAATCTTCAGTGACCAATATAACTACCTTTCTTTTCAATGGTTAACATAAGTCTTCCAGCTATGGGGTTTCTTAATTTCTCGATCTGTTTATTAGCAAGTTTGACTGTAGAAATGATTAATTCAGGTTAATAATTAAGTATTGTGAATTGCAGTTGGCTACACTATAATTTCCTCTCATGTTATTTACCAAACTGTAACGGCATAAGACTTGCAGCAACTCTTCTGTAACCACCAGAAAACACAGTTTATACTGGGCAATCCATAGTGAATAATAATTGAATGTACCAGCATGACTTTTATTCAACATATTATCCATCCATTGATCCATTTTCCTCTGCTTGGGTTGAGTTCCTTCTGATGGATCCCGAGGAATTTCCAGGTCAGATGAGATATGTAATCCTTCTAGCAAGTTCTGATTCTTGATGTCCTCCAAGTTGTCCAGAAAACCGTCAAACAGAAGCATCCAGGAGGCAAGCTAATCTGATGCCTCAGTTGGCTCCTTTTGACACAAAGAAGCTCCTCAGTCTATCTGAGCCCAGCCACCCTACTGAGGAAACCTGTTTTGGCCCATTATATCTGTGATGTCATTCTTTCATGACTACAGGTGACGATGACAATGACAGCTACGTAGTGATACTAAATCTTGACATCATCTATTATTCTGACCAATTCTAGCCCAACTTTCAACTAAGAGGGTCATGACAGCAAAACTGAAAGTCAAAGGATTTTTTTTCTCCACGTGTTTTTTGTCACAGTTTGATGGAGCGTTTTGCAAGAAGTCACAAGAGACAACCTTGGAATGAGTTTGCCTTTTTATCCAGCGGAAAAGCATTGCATAAACTTCTGTCATTCCTCATGAAAAATAGAGCAGATTGAAGGGCAGGGAGCAGACACTGGGTGTTAGATAAGGTGATCTGTTTACACAGTGATAGCACAGTGAGAGACAGACGCAGGCAGGAAAGAGAGAATGAAGGTTCATCACTGAGCTGCCACTCGTGACACCGGTGTCTTCTGCCACAGCCACCTGGCTTTGAACTGAACTCAGCGGAGTTCTCTTAAAACATAGAAAAACAGGAATGAGAAACAGATAGTAAGGACAAGGCGGCTTCATGCTTTCTGTCCCATTCTGTCGTGGCTATGCCGTGCCAAGATGGGCCAAACTGGGCTGTGTTCGGCAAGGTTGTACAGACCCCAGATTAAAAAGGTTACACAACTAACTGAAGTTATTAATCACATTTTTTTTGGTAAACACTGGAGGATGAAGTCTCTACGTGAAAATTATATACGACCACCAAGCTTGGTTCCTGGAAGTGTTTTCTAGCTGTTAGCATCACTGTTGACAGAATAGAGATCAGATTGGATATTTATTCCTGAAATCTGGAATTCCTTGAAAGTTACATGTGTACAAGCTTGTGCCTTTGACTTTTTTTTATCAAAGAATCAGATATTTTGTAATGCAGGTTGGACTGGTGAACCAGGAGAATTTCATCCAAGCTGCAGAAGTAAATTTTCCATGAGATAAATGAATGGAATCTTTATTCCTGCAACCAAGGATGCTTGCAACACCGTCTCCCTGCCTCTCTTGGGGAGGAAAAGTTTAATTCTGAAACTGTTTTAGACCCCTGAACATCAGGAAATACACAGCTATATTATTCTACACGTTTTTATGTCCCTGATTGACCTACTGTACATGTACATGTAACATTGGGTTTGTATTGCTTTTTCTGACTTCGGTGTATGTGACTTTAGAGGATGCTGAACGTGCCTCTTAGTCTAGTGCAGCAAACTAAGTGTGTAAAGGAGTCATTGGGCACTTAGAGTCATGTTTATTGATAAGCATCTGAGAAGCATGAAACGCCACACCTGTCAACACAGTCATCAGAGGTAAGGCCAGTGTCGAATTTGGCAGTGATGTGAGCTCTACGTTGCCCCTGCTGATGGTTTAAGTGTCTGGAGATGGCTGTGTTGCTGTCTGGTAGACGGATGAAGGTGCTGGTGTTGGTGAGGGGGAGGGATGCCCTGTATCCCGGGTGTACCAGCCAGATCAGCTTTCATGTGGAAGTATGCAGCAGCTGCTTTGGATGCTTCGCTGTTCTCCTGCTGTTTGAGCCGCCACACCTCTGATCCGTACGGTCATGGAAGCTACCCTGGCAGCGCACCTGCTTCTGCTTGGCATTGTGGTCGAGTATCGCTTACACAATTCAAGAGAGGGGGTTGTCTCAAGGTTTTGATATGCGACGATGCATTCACCCGAAACAGGATTCCTTCGCATCGCAAGGGGTTTGCCCTATCATGTGTTCAGTGCTGAAGTAACATTCAGCTGATGTTCATGCAGAGTTGGTTCATGGGTCGAACTCAAGGAGGCTCATGTGACTTCAGTGTGTCAATGATCCACAGAAGTTTAAATGCCTGATCTTTTGACCAGTCAGCGGAACCGATGCTCTGATAAGTGCTGAAATCTTAAATTCAATACTGTTGCTTTTGACTTGAATGACCTGGTGTCCTCGCTCCAGGCCCTGGTGCCTTTGTTCAGCAGTATAGGTAAGTTTGATGTTAAACAGTTGGGTAGAAGATTAACAATTTAGAGGATGGCAAAGACTTGGAACACGGAAAGCAGAAAAATAGCCACAAGAATGGCAACTCAAGTGTTTTTGTGAAAATTCTGGTACTCCCCCCCACTCTGCTGCACAAGCTCTCCAAAGCTCCTGCAGCTTAAAGAAGCTACCTGTCCACAAGCTTTCCAGCCTTTGCCAGTAACATGACCCTTGTTTTTAGGCAGACTGAGAGTTTCCATTGAATGATAATTCAATGCCTGTATGTGTCTACTGAACCGTGTTCCCACATGTCCTGACGACCAGCTGTTATGTGTCATGACTTGCCACCTGTTTTGACCCATTTTTTTTTTGTGGTGGTTTTCCAGTTTGACCTGCATTCTCATGGTGGACTCTGAGATCGTGTTCGAGTGATGCAGTGAAAGGAACAATCTAGCCCAACCTCCTTCCTACGCTGACTTAATATATAGTGATGTCTGAACTGAAAAGAATGCCAGAATTTAGCTTAATGTTTCCCACAAAGTTTCCATGACATATATGTGGACTGTATTTGAATGGTCTCCTAAACCTATGCACTTCTTACCTTCTTTTTTTGCTTCGTCTTCTTGTTTCCACAGAAGTCAAAGCAACGCCTGTCCAAGGAGCTCTCAGACTGCGTTGTTTACTGCAAAAGTGTTCACTTCAGTAGCTTCAAACACTCTCGCATCCACTCCAAGTTCTATGAGGTGGCATCTTTCACAGAATCTAAAGCCCGAAAACATCTGAGAGAGGCTGGTGAGTCCAGTTAAATCCTTTCTCTCTGATATTGATATTCATAGTTGGGTATATTTGCTGTGTCTATAGCAGATGTCTAACTTTCTTTTGAAATTCATTTATCCTTCTGATGTATCATCTCCACTTCAGGGGCAGAGTTTGTCCACCATAACTCGCGACAGCTGACCAGGGTTTATCCCACTGGCTTCCGAACCGACTCCTCCAATTTTAATCCTCAGGAAATGTGGAACGCTGGGTGCCAAATCGGTGATTGCAACTAAGAGACAGATTGGACTCTATTTGAAGCGAAGTTTTTTTTTTTGCATAATGACCATTTCTGATTTTACTATTAAGGCTGCATTTGACTGAATTTATCAGATTTCTGCTTTACAAACAACAAATGTATAATCCAGCAAATGAACACAGCTGGCCAGATTTTGACATTTCTTTTGTTCTTTACACTTTAAAAAAAAGAAGGAGACTGTAAAGTTTCAGCTGTGGGAAGCTCCAGATCATTGATCATTAACTCCTTTAAACCTAAAACCTGTTGAGAGTCTTAAAAGGCATGTTGTCTTTACGAAATTGTCAAATTACACCATTTATCAGAACCAGAATCAGCTTTAATGGCCAAGTATGTACAGTTTATGACCAGGATGAGTGGGATCTGTGATTATGTTCCCTGCGCTCTTTCTGGTTCTATTGGAGTACAGGAACTGATTTTTTTATTTTTTATTTTTTTAAAAAGAGCCATCAGATTTTCAAATGTCAGACTGTCTTTAAACAAATCAGGCATGGTCCAAGTGAAGATGCAGATTATCTAGGCAAGACAAAGATAGAAAAAAAGAAAAAGTTACCCCGATGTGACAGATGTTGCAGACCACTGTTCATTCACTTGGACAGGAGGCAGCATGTGGTGCTGTCATTGGTGCTGAACTGCCTGTTTCTGCATCTGGTGCTGTCCTTGGTGCTGCTTCTTCTTTTCTAAACATGACAAGGCAAAAGTGATGTGCACATTGATATCCCATTCTTTCCAATCTTTCTTTTATACAATAGTAGTTTCATTTAAGCACAGAAAAGTATCAGAATTAGCAGCTACATCCAATGTCTTGTAACTTTCCTTAGATCTGGTAGTTTTGGTCCAACTTAAAGCCAGTAAAATGTTTAGAAAAAGGCAAAGGCTGCTTACAGCTTTTTCTTCTGTCAGATCCAAGGAACATATTGTAAGACATATAATAATATTCTGTGATTGTCTGTCTCCTATTTTGTTGTGTGAAGTTAAAATCTTAGTTGCAATTGTGCAAAGTCTCCCAGTGCAGCTTTAATGTTCAATTCCATTCTTGTAACGTGCCTCAAAACAGTGTGTTCTGAGTCTGAATTTGGCTAAACTGTCCAAAGTAAAGCTTTCTTTTCCCTCCCACTCAGTTGCGTTGAACTTTCAGACAGCAGGAGAGGGGATGGATCTGAACGACGGACTGTTCAGTCAGAACAGTCGCTGTGGTTACGTCCTGAAGCCCGACTTCATGAGAGAGGCTGAGAAGAGGTTTGACCCTGAGACACCTCAGCAACGGGATCACTATCAACCCGTCGTCCTCACCATACAGGTACAAAACACCGAGAGAAATTTAATCTGTACATTTGTTCATCAACTCTCTTAAACTCCAAACAGTTTCTGGGTGTTTTTTTTGTTGTTGTTATGCTCCTGTAAATTTTTTCCTCACTTTTTCCCTGCAATATAAAGTCCTGCACCTCTATGGAAACAACACAACCATGACTAGAAGTGGAGAGCACTCAACAATGGTTTTTTTTGCACAGTATGACAGTTTTAATGTTGTAAAAAAATAATGAAAAAGTGTCCTCAGGTGTTAGCAACACTGGACAAAAATGGTGGCTCTGCATGCTATTCATGTTTAACTTTTTACAAACTCCACAAACATTTTTCATACCGCTCTGCTCGTCAACTCCAGAAACACCATGCAGAACATATCTTGCAACAACTTGCTGACAACTTGCTCCTCTGTATACTGTTTTTCAGCCGTGCTGCATTTATTTTACCGGTAGAGTATGTTTAATTTACATCTCAATCCCTCTAATTTGTTTCCGTACTTGTCTTCTCTCTGCTCTGCCTGCAGTTCAACCTAAAGGTCCTTACATTTTTGTTTTGTGACTGGTGATCGCAACTGAGTGGCTCATGGCCTCTACGTTGCAGTTTTAAAATTTTAAACAATGATCTGGTGCAAAATTTTTAAAAACATGTAGAGGAAAGTGGTTTTATTTTTATTTTATTTATTTAACCTTTTTTTAACCAGGAAAGACCCATTGAGATTAAAAACCTCTTTTACAAGGGCATCCTGGCCAAGAGGCAGCAAAAGTTACAAATACAACAATTTAAAATTCATATTTGGTTCATTTCTTTGATGGAACTGTACATGGCACATGGACTAAATTAAATATCTACTAAGTCTTTCTGTTTTTATAGTTTCTGGCTCTGATAAAGTGGTAATATTGGCTTTTTATTTCACTCTTCTAAAATAACTTCATTTACAACACTGAATGAATTTGTGTCTTTGCTGTATGTGATGAAGGTGATCAGTGGCCAACAGCTGCCCAAAGTCAACATCAAAGAGGGTTCTATAGTGGATCCTCTGGTTAGAGTGGAGATCCACGGAGTTCCGATGGACCAGGCCAAGCAGGAGACCAGATACATCGAGAACAATGGTACCCCACTGACACCTGTGGAAAGAAATAAGCTTTTAATGTGTCAGATTTGGCTCAGTTCCAAACAGATTTACAGCCAGCTTATCTTTTTTTTTTTTTTTTTTTTTAACAGGATTCAACCCAGTGTGGTACGACACTCTGCGCTTCACCATCCACACTCCTGAGCTGGCCCTGGTGCGCTTTGTGGTGGAGGACTATGATAAAACATCCAAGAATGACTTTGTGGGGCAGTATACGCTGCCGCTCAGCTGCATGCAGCAAGGTAGGCATGAAAAACCTGAAAAGTGGGTCACATTATTTCTTCTTCAGTGATCTCTCTGTGTAGCAGCTTTACTCTCACATTTAAAGATAATTCTGGGTTATATCAACCTGTTTCCCACTAATATAGCTGTTCTGTCTCTATGGGTCACACTTAGTTTACATTCTCCACCTCCATTGTGGAGATTTGGGGAAACGATTTAATGTGCAATCCAGCTATAAACTGTGCAAAGATTTGCTTTTGACAGATGAGGTTCTCGATCTAAGGACCATTAAAGGGACGCTTCATTTCAGAACCTCTTCTTCACCATTTCTACGTGCACCCTCTCTCCTTACCCTTCTGGTTTTGTGTTCTCAGGTTATCGTCACATTCACCTTTTGTCCAGAGATGGAACCAGTATTCCTCCCTCATCGCTATTTGTTCACATCAGGGTCACGGAACTGGAATAATCCTTCTTCGCTTTCCAAAGAAGCACTTGAAAGAACACTTTTAGCACCATCTGCTTAGTCATGAGAGTAGAATTCTTCCTAACTCTAGAAAATATGTATAGTTCTTAAAATAGTATTTAATATTTTTTGATGTGAAAAAGTACTATGCCAAATGTTTAGAGGTTCTTAGGCAGCAGAGGTATATTCAATCTGCATGTTACTTTGTTTGTTTTGTTCAGTGTAGTGTGTGTAACCCGTTCCTGTGACTGACTTGAACTTTGCTGCTCGTGTTTGATGTATGATGTGTTTCTTCTGAGATGTCGCGCTGCAGAGGAGAACGTGCCACCATGTGTTTCGATCAGGACGTCCGGTAGATTTTCTGTCAGTATTTTCTTTAACAAGCAGCGCTTTGTGGACGCCGCCTGCAGCTTTCATTTTGGTCCGACTGCAAAGCTTACGATGCAGTCGTCGTTGCAAATTGCACCATATATCCTGAATTTGTACATTTTTGTCTATAAAACTCCAAGATAGAATAAATGAAGTTAGAAACACCTAATATTACTTGGGGTGATAGAAAAAATTTTGAATATAAATTCAGATTTCTTATATATATATATATATCTTATATATTTAGATTTATATATATGCATATAGACTCTCCAAGCTCCTAATTAGTAAATGAAATCTAATTCAATTCAAAACAACAGCTCTGCCATAAACCCTCAAGTAATTTTCATGCAAACAATATTGCCCACATGGTTGTAAATCTACATAGCTGTTATTGTGTGGAATTTTTCCTTTTTAATTTACAGATTTTTTTTCCACATTTGAAATACGCTAAAATATCTTTAAAGTTTTTTTTTCTTCTGTCTGTAAATTTACATGTCTAATGTAAAATTACATAAAAAATCTCTAAGTGCAAATAACCATGTCATTTCCATTTTCATTTAACAGATATCTTCCATTAATTCAAACTTTAAAATTCAAGTTTGAGCTCAAAACACTGAAAAGTAGTCTGGAAAAATTATTTTTAACCTCAAATTTTACTGTATTTTTATGGCTTTTTTAAATGGTATATTCTTTTCCCTTTCATTTTTCATTCCGTATCTCAGTGTCAGTCTGTGTCTCCACTGAGTTGGACGGAGTGTAATGAGTTGACACGTGTTGGATATCAGACTGTATCTATCCATCTGTGTTGTTGCTTAAATTACCAGACGGATATGTGATAATTCTACATTATTTTTGTTATTTAGATATATTGAAATGTGCCTCTAATCTTTTGTCCACACCAGTAACAGACAAAATAGCAGGAATACAAACTCAACAGAAATCATTCAGAGCTGTTCTATTGACTTGCATTAGATTGCAGAGGTTTTCTGTTGTTCTCCACTCGAGCTGCACTTTACATTATTATGATCTTAAACTTGATACATCAGAAAATGTAATTTTTTTTTCCCGCAATCCACAGTGAAATGCTGCTATGTCTTAACCCACCCCGAGCGTTTGACCTGCTACTCAGGACTTTTGCTGATTAAAGTCCTACATTTTTTAGTTAGTAAATTCTGTGTCTGTGATAGAATTGCTCTCACATCTCCCAGTGATCAAAGCTTGAGCTGTTGATCTTCTGATGGTAATGTTGTCGACGTTGGTCTGCCTTATCGAGCTTTGGATACACCTGACCCAGTTTCTGCTCTGTGTTTTAGAGTGCCATGCACTGCTCCTTTAGAAATCTTCATTCGAGCCTTGATTTGATGCTCAGAAAGTCCCTCTTTGCTAAGAATTTGATTTCTTTCACTTAGTTCTGATGCCATCTTTCCTGCTACTACAAAGACGTTAGCATTTAACAAATTTAATTAAATCTGATTGTTTCTTAATCCTCAAACTTTCTTAAGTTTTCCAGACTTACATAAAAATGTAGGTTCTCCTAAACTACAGCATATCGCTTTATGGTGTACACTGTTCTGGGGAATTGTGAGGTTCAGACCAAAGAAAACAAATTTACTCTGTGTTCTGAAATATTCAGCAAACAACTGAACATAGATGATATGATATTTGTTATTACTATTAGTAGTCGTAGTAGTAATGAAATCGAATTAATAATAACAATAATAATTGTAACCAGGCCCCCATGGAAACAGTATGAATGACTGTTACAGCCCTTATTCATTCAGGGAATATGTGCTACATTTCAGCAGCACTTTCTTTTACGTGCATTTATTCCCATCACAAATGCTGTTTTTTTTCTTTCTTTTTTTTACTGTGGAGCATCTAGACGTCAAAGGTCAAGACGCATTATGATGCCTCCCAGTGTTCCCAATCAGATCGAAGGAGATTGTCATTAATTTGCTTGAATTTCCGTCTTAATCTTAAGCTAAAGGTTGAAATCACTATTTAGTACTGAGTAGGTTTTGTGTCATCCCATGTATTTTTGTGGTATGTACAGCCCATTTGTGTCAATGTGTTTTGATATGTCTATTTTTGTATACCCAGACACATTCATATGTACTGTACAGTATAGTGCACTGTGTGTTTAAATGAGTATTTGCTTGTTTTTTATTGTAGATAAACCTCATACTCATTTGCCACATTCAGCTGCAAATAAATTAGATTTTCACTTAATTATGCAACTTCTTTTTTTTTTCTTATTATTTTTTTATCCTTCATGTTCTTAAAGACTGACCGAGGAGTCTGCACATATTTGCAGAGGACAAAATACAACATCCTGGCTCGAACTACACAAGCATGTAAAATGTGACACTGCAAAGAAGGTGTGAGGTTGCATTGTCCTCACATTTGATCCCAACAATAAAGTTATCTGAGCTTTGCAAGAGACACATAGACTTGATTTGCAGCTTAAGGTAAATTATACCTCTTGTTCACTATGAATGAGCCAACTCATTTGTTTAGTTCAGCTGGCTGTAGTGAAATGTATACTATTCCTGCTGTTCTTGGAGTGGATAGAATCCTCGTACATCTAAGTAACCATGTCCTTGGAGAGGGAGAACTTTTTAAGGCACTAAAAAGTAAAAAAAAAAAAAAGTTTCTACTTGGTTAATGTGATACACAGTATATGAGCAGCAGTACCAGCCTCACACCATACAATGTGGACCCAAGTAATTGTTACACTTTTATTTATTTTATTATGATTATTATTTTTACACTATTTATTCAAGGGATGCATCCTTGTCATCTTGCTGACATTTACCCATTATTTGATTTATTTAAGATCCTCCACGTTGATGTTAACTGGAGGAGCATCCACAGAAGTCTCGTTCATCAAGCCATATCACTCAGCATATACATATAAAACAACTATCAAATACTTCTGCCATTTGCACAGTCAAGCTCTGAAAAACTTTAGACTGAGCAGAGGGGCCATTTTAATGGAAATCAGAGTTTTGTTTGGTGTGAATCTGGCCATGACTACCACAGTAAATGCATAGTCCTGACAGTGAAGCAGAGAGGTAGGAGGGCGACTATATGGAGCTGCATGTGTGCAAAAGGTGTTGGGCAGATGACATTTATAACTGAGCAAATAGCTCAACGTATTTTGAGTGAATGTAGGTGCACAACAGCCTGTTTATCATATGAGACATATTGGCTTTCATACTTTCTCAAGGCAGCAAATATATTCTAATATCTTAATAAATTAAATTACTCAAGTATTTAAAGCAGAATTGAGCGGTGTATAGATAATGGATGGATGGAAATATTTACAGAAATTGTTAACGGAGAAATTTATCAGAAGCTATGGCAATGAAAATAATGCGGAACGAATCTCTTTCTTCTCCGTTTTCCACCGACGCACTAAACTGGGACGCCAGTCATGGCTGTCAAGAACCGAAGCCACCGCATACTTCTGGTATTTATTTTCACAATAAGAAAAATAACAATTTTTTACTTTTAAGCTTGTGTGTTCCGCAATGGCGTTTTAATAAACACGAAGTTCGAAAGTAAAAATTAATTTAACACATAAACATGGTAATAAATGCTTACAGTATAGTTTTCCCTTAAATGTATTTATTTTTTTCTCTGAAGTACGTGCTCTGTGCAGTTAGCAAACTAAGCTAATGTGTATGTTGCGCAGATAGAAAGTTAAACAAAAAGAGGCCTAAGCCAACTTATAGGGGCAACTTTTCGCTTTTGAAATTATGCATTTAATTCATACTGCAGCAAAACATTGGTGAAGATTGTACAAAGACAAAATATAGCATTTTAGTTTGAAGGCAACACACTTTTATTTGCGGCGCTAGCACAGCGAACTCGACACACACGGTACGCTGTCGACACTGGGAGCACAAACAGCGGATTAAGTTGAATTGAAAGTTGTCTCGGTGATATTAATATGGTTGGAAAGATAAAACACGTCCGTCAGAAGCTTCACCAGGAGGCAGTGAAGCTCGACAGGCCGGGTAGCCTTTCACAGAGCCCCGGCTCCGAGTTACCTTCCAGTTCAGACAAGCCTCCGGTCCACAGAATAAGTCCTGCACATGTGGAAAACAACACGAGCGATGCCTCCAAACACGGTAAACAGGTATGTTAGAGGGAATATTCACAGTACCAACCATGCCATTTAACGACAGGTTCAAGAATATGGCCCGAATTTAATTTAAAATCTGTAAATTTGGTCATTTTGTTTCTCGGATGTGTTTGCATGTGAATACAATAGATGCAATATACAACAGAGGTAAGTACATCCCTAAATGTCAAATGATAAAAATAATTATATCCCCTTGAAACAACTGCATTGTTTCCAAGTATGAGTATTTTCTCTTCACATTTAGAAACAAAAACTTAAAAATCAAACAAAAAAAAGAACACTGCATTGAAAATCCAGACCTCAAAGTAGGAACTCAATGCTACAAAAGTGAACACACCTGTGATCCCTGATGCACAAGCTAGAAACCCAACCAGAAAACAAATACTGAGCACGTCTGTGATTTTCAATCAGCTGAACTGCATGAAAATAGTTATAAAATGAGCTGTGAATACCAGAACTTTCTCAGATTTGGACCTATGGGCGGTGCATTTCTACATTATGGCTCCTCCGGGGAAGGAATTGCCACAGTAACCTAAAAATCTGGTTTTGAGAGATCAGAAAGATGGAAATTGATGCAGGAAGATGATATACAACTGCAAATCAGTCAAAACACAGTTGCAGCTGTAATTAGGAGGTATGCAATGAGCCACATTGCCATGTGTTCTCTAAAATGACGCCACACACAGTGCACTACTTGCACATTCACCATAGATTACACTGAAGTTATCTATGAAAATCAGAATTTGTGTTACACCTCTGACAATCAGAAGGACAGTGCATAATGTTAACTTCTGTGGACAGCATCGAAAAATAGTTTATGACGGATTTCAGAGCATCTCTCTAGAAATGCCTGCTGTCCTGCATGCTGGGGAGGATTTAGTCAGTCATTAAAAAACAATTAAAAAGTGGATGTATGAGGGATTGGAAAATATTTAAGACTTGAGTCTCAGTAATGACAGGTTTACTGATTTTAGTTGCATTGAATTCCTACTGTTTGGTTGGTGTTTTTAATACAGTAAATCGATACTGTTAGTTTTTAATGTTACGTGAGAATAAAAATTCTACTGCAAAAACTGCAAACGGATACAACTTTGAATCATTTCACATTTTAGGTGATATTGGACACTTCTTTCTTATGTTATATAACTATCAGTTTTAGAGGGCTTCTAGTAGAAGTATGGTGGACAGTTGCTCTGGAGTACTTATATACTGACCTTCTGAAACCTCGCAGATCCTGGCAAAGAGCTCCTTCCCCTCAGGGATCTTCTCTGGCACTAAAATCTCTCCAGAGGCTCTGGTACAAACACTGAAGTTTGAGGAACCTCCAGATGTGCCTGCCCCTGCCAAGAAAGGTAAGAGTAGCTGAAGGGTAGTTAGACTGAGGTCAGTTGGTTTGTTTTTAGTCCCTTCACCTCTTAAAGACTGAGAGTCTAAGAGTTTTGCTGGTGTGGATTGATAATTGTATCATGACTCTGCAGCATTTTACAAAAAGAAACAAAGTTATCAACAGGATAGAACCAAACTTATAGAATGACCATTACCTAAATATGAACATATACTGAACTGCACAATGGTAGCGTTTCGAGTAGCAGATAGTGTACTGATTTCATGTATTTGTTGGAAGTGCATTGTTTAATATCATATAACATGGGTATTTGATAAAAGACACATAAAAAGCACATTCCAGCAGTTACGTCGTGTAAATTGGACACAGATTTCAACGTAAAAAGTGGACAAAGTCAAAGATATCCTCGCTTTAGGTGCCTATTATTCAAAGTAAAGCTCCAGAAACACACAACATAAGCCAAACAACATTTTATTAGCAGACTCAGTGTCCACATTCATCGAGGAAAGAGAAATTTAGACCTTATCTTGCAATTATGCAAAGAAATTTAGGTAGTAACCAAGCATCGCTAACCCTAACAGGACAAGTGGGATGGTTCCTGATTTAATGTACTGAATATGAGTTGACTAAACTGTTTCAGTGGTAGAACTGTGAAAAAGATAAGAACAGTTCTATTATAAGTAGTTCTTGGTTAAAAACAGCAAAGAAAGTCTGTTATTTTTGGGCGTCTCATTGACTTAGTTTTAGTCTCTTTACAAAAATGTGCATTATTTTTAGCCATTTGGTGTTGATTAGTTTTAGAACAGGCTGCAAGGTGGCGCAGTTGGT